CTTGTCCTGGTTTAACTGTTTTTCCCTTAAATCATGCTCTGCACTGTGACTGCTCTAGGCATTCCTCTGATTATAAGCTGCTTATTCCTTAATGCATGCTCTGTACTGTGTCCACTCTAGGCATTCCTCCGATTATGAACTAAGATACAATTATAGGTATATATGTAGGGAAATATTCTTTAGGCACTCATACTATCACCTATTATATGATTATATGTAGAGGATTATATAAAGGGATTCTTCAAGCCCTATTTCTATAAACGAATATGTGATTATGTAAAGGATTAGATAAAGGAAACAGTCAAGTAGTAACACTATAAAGTGAGATATTCCTCAAGCCCTAACTGTGCCAGGGTTCGGCTTAGCTCTCATTTCTCGGTGCCTACATGGGGGGTTCCCCACAGTTCCCAGAATGCTGTCAGCTGTGGCTGCATTATTAGACTAAGTATGTTGCCTTACCAGGTGACTGATTTACAGAAACTGAGAACTCATTTTGGTGTACAAGTTTGTTATGCTTGTTAAAGAAATATATATAGGCAGTCACGTGTCCAGGTGTGACTCACATTGGTTCCAGGATGGATCCATTTGGAGTCAGGCAGCAGGTAGCTTGTAGAGCTGTGAGAACTGGCTTCTGCCATAGAGGGAAGACAACCCTTTTGTGACAAGCTGAGTCTCCTACTTTACTGGGCAGCTCCTCTTACGCTTGCCCTTCCCACCATCTCATTCCCTCCAATTTATCCTGCAGTGTGGAACCTTTATAAAAAACAGATCTGGCTGACACAGTGGATCACTATAATCCCAGCACTTTAGGAGGCCAAGGCAAGTGGATGGCTTGAGTACAAGAGTTCGAGACCAGCCTGGGCAACATGGTGAAATCCTGTCTCCACTGAAAATACAAAACATTGGTCAGGCGTGGTGATGCATGCCTGTAGTCCCAGCTACCCAGGAGGCTAAGGTGGCAGAATGACCTGATCCCGGGAGATCAAGGCTGCAGTAAGCCATGACTGCAACACTGCACTGTACCCTGGATGACAGAGTATACCCTGTCTTTTTTTAAAAATGAAAATAAAAAGACCAGATCATATCTGTACCTCATATAATTGTACTTCCTGTCTGCCTTTCTCTTTGGGCTCTAATTTTCATTCATCTTGGTAGCTCCAATTTCCTGTCTATTAATCTCCCCCAGCCCCAGACAGCTGGTTGGGATGAAATCCAAGTCCATGCTCTAATTATTTTTTCCTGAGGCACCATAGCCTTCCCAAGTGCATATCCAAGAACTACCAACTTTTTTTTTTTTTGAGACACAGACTTGCTCTGGCACCAGGCTAGAGTACAATAGTATCATCTCGGCTCACTGCAACCTCTGCCTCCCAGGTTCACGTGATTCTCCTGCCATAGCCTCCCAAGTAGCTGGGATTACAAGCCCTTACCACCACCACACCTGGCTAATTTTTTGCCTTTTTAGTAGCAATGGGGTTTCGCTATGTTGGCCAGGCTTGTCTCAAACTCCTGGCCTCAAGAGATCCACCTGCCTTGACTCCCAAAATGCTGGGATTATAGGTGTGAGCCACCACGCCTGGCCACCACCAACTTTTTAATAAGCCAATAAGGCTGGGCATAGTGGCTCATTCCTGTAATCTCAGAACTTTGAGACACCAAGGCAGGAGGATTGCTTGAGCCCAGGAATTTGAGACCAGCCTGGGCAACATAGTGAGACCCTACCTCTAAAAAACAGTTTTAAAAAAAATGAGCCTACAGATGTGGACACAGTGCTCTTCATGCACTGGTGACTGTCCACTGTGAGGAGGGTCAGCACGCATAAGCTCTCCTTGCATGGAGACACAGGCAGCTGAGGGCAGACTTAATGAAGGCCTCAAGTGCTAATTCCTGCCAGAGCCCAGCACAGGATGGGCAATCTTTGAGCTGCTGGTGTTATCCTCAGTTCTCCATGCATTGTTCCTGGCACCCCATAGCTGCCTCTCTTAATGGACCTCTGCACTCTCCAGACAGGTGAGAAGTGACCCGCCCTTCTGCCAGCAGCACAGTCTAGTGGCATTGCTGCTGACCTTAGCCAGTGCTGCAGCATTGGAGCAATTAATATTTTGTTGCATTTAACCCTAATTATTTAAATGAGTGGGATTCTTTTTGAGATGGGATCTGGCTCTCTTGTCCAGGCTGGAATGTAGTAGTGCAATCATAGCTCACTGCAACCTCAAACTCCTGGGCTCCAGTGATCTTCCAACCTCAACCTCCTAAGTATCTGAGACTACAGGCACATGCCATCATGCCAGGCTAATTTGTGGGTTTTTGTTTGTTTGTAAAGATAGGGTCTTGCTTTGCTACCCAGGCTGGTCTTGAACTCCTGGCTTCAAGCTATCATCCCACCTTGGCCTCCCAAAGCACTGAGATTATAGGCCTAAGCCATCATACCCAGCCTGAATGGGAATTTTTAAAAATGAAAATTGGTGATATTAGTGGAAAAGCAAAGGTTCTGTAATTCACTACAGTTAGAAGTCAATGAGCATGCCAAAAGTAGCAAACTTTCGCCACACTAGTTGGGGCTCATTGGACTTAAACCAATCCCTAATGTGTTCGGTTGGAGAGTAAAATAAAAGAATATGGACAAATGATTTGGAAATGTCATTGAAGAAAATATCTAAAAGGCAACATGTAATTAGACATTCTATATATATTTTTTGTCTCAGGACAAAAGAAACTTAAGGGATCCCTTCTCCCTTACAGTGCTTAAGTTTTGTTTTGTTTTTTGAGATGGAGTTTCATTCTTGTCATCCAGGCTGGAGTGCAGTGACACAATCTTGGCTCACTGCAACCTCTGCCTCGTGAGTTAAAGCAATTTTTCTGCTTCAGCCTCCTGAGTAGCTGGGATTACAGGCATGGGCCACCACGCCCAACTAACTTTTGTGTTTTTAGTAGAAATGAGGTTTCATCATGTTGACCAGGCTGGTCTCAAACTCCTGACTTCAAGTGATCCACCCACCTCAGCCTCCCAAAGGGCCAGGATTATAGACATGAGCCACCGTGCCCAGCTTTTAGTTCTTATTCAAGGCCGGGCGTGGTGACTCACGCCTGTAATCCAAGCACTCTGGAGGCCAAGGTGGGCGGATCACCTGAGGTCAGGAGTTCAAGACCAGCCTGACCAACATGGTGAAACCCCGTCTTTACAAGAAAAAAAAAGTTCTTATTCAACTAGTTCATGTCACCTTTTGTACATGTTCAGGAGTGTACCTAATACATGTGCACTTAGTCCTTGTAGTCAGAACTGCCTTAATTTCTTTGACCGACTCCAATGACGATGTAATTATTGGCACTTGTTGAGTTTATTATGTGCCAGGCATTTATCCTATTTTATTCTCCAGCACTGTCTGAGGTCAGTGCTGGGAGATACAGTCTGCATGGTCCAGAGCATGCCTGCATGTTCTTACTGGGTATGCCAGGAATGCAAGGCCCTGACCACACTTTCCCAGACCCTTTCCCAAAGCTGTGTGTGTAGTGGGCAATCTTGAGGGATGAGATAATGTCTTCTACCAGGACAAAGAGAAGAGTGCCCATGAAAGAGGTAGTTTTTCTGAAATCAGAATTCCTCGTCTGCAATGCAAACCATTCCATGCATAGCATCCACCTGGGCCCTTCCATGTTGTCCCTTGTGGGACTTGGAAGAGCAAGGACAATTGACACAAACACGAGTCTAGTGCTGATTGTTGTGCCACGAGTCATAAATTATTCTGTCTCTGACCCAGAAGTCTTGTGTCTTCTGCCAGCATCCATGAAACAGCAACAGTAACTATCTTCTGAGTAGGGTAAAGTTCCAGACTTTTGACAGTTTGGATGGACAGGATTTAAAGTTGTCATGACTATGGGGCAGCAAGCCTTGCAGCCACAGCCAAAAGGCAACATAATTGTGGATGCTAAGTCACTAGGTCTCTAAAATTTAGACAAATGGCATCAGCAATGAGGATATAGAGCTTCCAGTGGACCAAAAGCACTGGAACGGGCAAAACCTTGTTTATTGAAACAGAGCTGCTCTCTCCTTTTGTGCAACTGATTCTTTGGGCCCCTCCCCGACCACAGCTATGTTAAGAAAAAAGCTGAGTATGTTGGAGAACTTCATGGAAGGGGCTTTGTTACAGGAACCCAAGTCACCATCCTCCCCAGTCCCGTGGCAGGAAGTGGTGCTAGGCGCAGCTGGAGTGGTTTTAGAGCAGCCTGAAATAAAAGACACCACTCAGTTCCTTAGGGCCAGAATCAGAGGAGGCTGTGGCCAGGAAAATCCCAGATACTGGATGAGCCTGAGGACAAAGCCTAGGCAGGCGGACACAGCCGGCAACTAAAGGGCATCACAAAATCTGACACTGCAACACAAAGGGGTCGCCACCTCGGTAGACAAAGGAACCAGAGCCCCTCAAGAGTGAATGGATGGACACACAGATCCTCCACCCGCTCCTCATCCACATGGAGAGATCTCCACTCCCTCTACAACTAAGGGCCCCAAATTCTATATGGTTTCTGTGGAAGCAAGTCCTCATGCACCTAGTTTTAGTACCTGGAGAGTTGGTCTCTGGGCACCTGGATAAGATGACAACCTGGTAGGCACCAAAAGAAACTGCCCTTCTCTTGGTGCCTGCTATTTGCCCTTCCTATTCCCACATAGTTCCTTTGTCTTTTCTCCATCCTACATGCCTTACCACAATGTGGAACTAAAATATATATTGTTATTAGTTACAGGTTATTAACTGAATAAAGTTTTGATTTCTAAACTTGTTCATAAAATGCAGTTGCTTTGAACATTTGATTTGTCTTTATTTATTATTATTATTAAGACCATGTCTCACTCTGTCACTCAAGATGGAATGTACTGATGGGATCATAGCTCACTGCAACCTCCAGCTCCAACTACTGGGCTCAGGAGAGCCTCTTACTTCATCCTCCTGCCTCAGCCTCCCGAGTGGCTAGGACCACATGCACTCACCACCATATCCAGCTAGTTTTTTAAATTTTTATTTTTGTAGAGATGTTGGGGAGAGGGGTCTGCCAGGCTGGTCTTGAACTCCTGGGCTCAAACTATCCTCTGGCTCAGCCTCTCAAAGTGCTGGGATTGCAGGTATGAGCCACCCTTCTTACTTGTCTTCTTTTAGAAAACACTGGATTGTCCAAGATCAAGGTGCTGGATTAAAAAAGAAAAAGAAAAAAAATCTGGGTCTCCAGTACTTTATCTATAAATGGGGTGATGTTGAAAAGACTAAATTAGTTAATACACATAAAACACATACAATGCTGACTTCTGTTGTTGCTATTCATTGAGGTGTGATATATGATGTAGTTTCCCCATCCAAGAACACCCCCAGTTGGACAACATCTCATTGGAAAGCCAAGGAGATAGAAAGCAATACCAATGCAGCAAAGAAATAGGGAAAGAAAGCAAACAGCAGGGTGCCTACCACCCTAGGACCTATGAAACTCCTGGGGGCACTTCCCAATTGCTCCTCTCTCTCATCTCCCTGTATCAGGGGCAAGCACTGTAACTTTTATGTTAGTCATTCTCATGCTTTATAGTTTTGCTGTCTATATATGAAATTTGAACAATAGACAAGCTTGGTGAACATGGTGAAACTTCAGCTCTACAAAAAAAAAAAAAAAAAAAAAAATTAGCTAGGCGTGGAGGCACAACCTGTAATCCCAGCTACTTGGGAGGCTGAGGCACAAGAATCACTTAAATCTGGAGTCAGGTTACAGTGAGCTGAGATGGCACTGCTACATTCCAGCCTGGGAGACAGAGTAAGATCCTGTCTCAAAAAAAGAAAAAAAATCTGAACAATATATTGCTCAGTTTTGAAAAAGTTAGTAGCAAGCACAAACCCAGCAAAAAAGGGGCTGTATGGCCCCATTTGATGGAGGCCCAAGAGGAGATGATGTAGAGTTCTACATTGGAAACTGGCCTGAGCATCCCTGAGGGTCTATGGGGGTCACCCCAGCTGTGAGAGGGCTAAGCCACACAGCAGTTCCTGGAAGCACAAAAGTCAAGGCAGTTTGGCTTTGGCAGCATGGCAGCACAGACCAGGACAATTTTTTAGGAAGGAGCACAAGGAAGAGTTTTGTTTTTGTTTTTGTTTGAGACCCACTTTGGTTCTCGTCACCCAGGCTGGAGTGCAGTGGTGTGATCTCAGCTCACTGAAACCTCTGCCTCCCAGGCTCAAACAATTCTCCTGCCTCAGCCTCCAGAGTAGCTGGGATTACAGGCACCTGCCACCATGCTGGGCTAATTTTTGTATTTTTAGTAGAGACAGGGTTTTGCCATGTTGGCCAGGCTGATCTCAAACTCCTGTCAGGTAATCCACCGGCCGCAGCCTCCCAAAGTGCTGGGATTACAGACGTGAGCCACTGCACCTGGCCAGATATTTGTTTTTAAACCTCGCATAGCCCAAATTATCTTTATTCTGCTCTCACACGTGTTTGATACTTTGGCCGAGTATAAAATTCTGGACTGGATACCATTTTTCTTCAAAAATTTTAAGGCATTCTCTTTCATCTTTTTGTGTGTGTGTGTGTGTGTGTGTGTGTCTGTGTGTCTGTGTGTCAGAGTTTTGCTCTTGTTGCCAAGGCTGGAGTACATGGTGTGATCTCTGCCTCCTGGGTTCAAGTGATTCTCCTGCCTCAGCCTCCCAAGTAGCTTGGATTACAGGCATGCGCCCCCACACCTGGCTAATTTTGAATTTTTAGTAGAGATGGGGTTTCACCATGTTGGCCAGGCTGGTCTTGAACTCCTGGCCTCAGGTGATGCCCCCATCTCAGCCTCCCAAAGTGCTGGGATTACAAGAATTTCACTTTCATTTTTTTCTATCAAAAAATCTGGGTCAGTGGGGTACAGTGGCTCATGTGTGTAATCCCAGCATTTTGGGAGGCTGAGGCCAGCGAATCACTTGAGCTCAGGAGTTGAAGACCAGCCTGGCCAAGATAGTGAAACCCCATCTCTACTAAACATGCAAAAATTAGCAGGGCATGGTGGTATGCACCTGTAATCCCAGCAGGTTGCAGTGAGCCAAGATCACACCACTGCACTCCAGCATAGGCGACAAAGGTGAGACCCTGTCTCAAACAAGAGGAGAGAGAGAGAGCACGTGCATGTGAAAGAAATCTAACACCATTCTTCCTGATTCTGTATATGTATCTGTGGTTTTTTTGTCTCCGAAAACTTGTGGAATTCTGTTTGACCTGAGTGCTCTAACATTTCATAATGAAGGGACTAAGTGTGCGTTTACTCTCATCCATGGGCTGGGCACTTAGTTTCAATCTGGAAACGTCATTGTATCAGGTCCAAATACATCATTCACAGTTATAAAGCGTTCAAATAAATATTTGTTGGGACAGAGCATGGTGGCCCATTCCTGTAATCCTAGCACTTTGGAAGACTGACACAGGAGAATCGCTTGAGTCTAGGAGTTTGAGACCAGTCTGGGCAATATGGCAAAACCCTGTCTCTACCAAAAATACAAAAATTAGTTGCACGGTGGCAAGCACCTTTAATAGCTACCTGGGAGGCTGAGGTGGGAGGATGCCTTGAGCCTGGGAGGTGGCAGTTACAGTGAGTTGAGTGCACTCCAGCATGGGTGACAGACTCAGACTCCTTTTCAAACAAATATTTGTTGAATGGAATTAACAAATGATTGGGACAGACAGTAAACAGAATCTACTCATATCTTTCAAATCCCTATTTAATAAAGAGCACCTATGTTTTATCCTCCCAACAATACAAGTGCTAGATGTGAGGCAAGAAAAACAATAAGGAAATATATGAGAAGTAAATAATACACATTGATATGCTGGTCAGATTTTTTTCCTTTCGCTATGTTGCCCAGGCATGTCTCAAACTCCTTAGCTCAAGATTCTCCCACCTCTGCCTCCCTAAGCCTTGGAATTATAGGCGTGAGCCACCATGCCCAGTGCTATTCAGATTTTTTTTTTTTTTTTTGAGATGAAATCTTGCTCTGTAACCCAGGCTGGAGTGCAGTGGCACCATCTCGGCTCACTGCAACCTACGCCTCCTGGGTTCAAGCAATTCTCCTGCCTCAGGCTCCCCAGTAGCTGGGATTACAGGTGCCCACCACCACACCTGGCTAATTTTTGTATTTTTAGTAGAGACAGGGTTTCACTCTGTTGGCCAGGCTGGCCTTGAATTCCTGAGCTCAGGAGATCCTCCCCCCACCCCCTCACCCCACCTTGGCCTCCCAAAGTGCTGGGATTACAGGTATGAGCCACTGTGCCCAGCCCAGATTTATTAAGCAATAGTGGTGCATTTCATGCACAGGTAGCAGCTAATCTAGTAAAAATTATCCTCCACAAATCATTGGGAAAAAGGTGACAATTTTCTACTTTTCCTTTATGTTCAGGAGCATCAGCAATATATAACTCAATGTCTACACAGGTCTTTGTTACACAACACGAGTCACAAAATGTTTGTCACCAAAGCAGGATAAGTTTTTAAGCTTTTAATAGCAAGAAACTGGTTTGAAGAAAATCTTGCAATTACAAAGTGATTTTTTTTTAAATGTGTTGTTGAGAGAAGCAACTTGTCATGTAGTTATTTATTGTATCAGTTATTTTGCCTCGTTACCCTGAACTCCTATCTCTAACCTCAAACTAAACATTTTATTTGAGATCTGTTTATTTTCTTATCTGATTCTTGGCCATATATCTAACTTCCACATCCTCTTGGTCAGGATTCCGAGTGCATCTTAAGCTTGCTTCCCGTAAGTTATCCCCAAATGCCAAACGTCTTATATAAAAAGAAGGTACAGTCCCTATCCCACCGCAAACTCTCTTATTTCTCATAGCTGGATCATCCTATGTCACTCACTGTTCCATAACATTTAGCAGTTGCACACCAGGAATTAAGCTAGGTCTAATTTCGGTCTTTGCCCTTAAGGCGTCTAGGCTGCAGTGTGATGCTGTAAGGATCCAGTGAACACTGGGGCCCCGGAGCGGGGTGACTAATCCGTGAGCCCGGTGTTCTACATATACAGTACAGGGCCATTTCATCTTCACTCCAACTTAAAAGAAAAGGACTTTTATCATCATGTTTGCCAGATGAGGAAGCTGAAGCTCAGGAAGGTTTGAAACTCTGCCGGACCGAGTTGGCAGGAGGCGAGACGGGGCTCTAAGCCCAGCTCCCGGAGCTTCCCAATCAAGCTGCGTCCACGCGGTTAGGATGCATCGCGTGGGCCTTGGGGACAGGCAGAGCAAAGGAGAGCTTTTTCCCATCGGCTGGGGGAACAGCGCTCAGGGCCAAGCGGCGGTGCGTCCCGGGACGAGGCGAGGGGCCGGGCCTGGGGAGGGGCCAGAGCCAAGCGCAGCTCCCTGTCTCCCGCCTGGTCTTTCTTCTGGTGGGCCCGCGGGGCTTCCACTGCCCTGGGATTGTAGCTGGTTCCAGATCCTGCCGAAGGCAGGTCTTCTTCTGGAGGCGGGTCGCTCAGAGGAATGACCCGCAGCAACCGCTGCTCAGTTCAAAACCGCGTCTTTTTCATTCTGAAATGAAATTCGTAGTTGGAGAAAACGGGCCTCGCTAGCACAACTTACCAGCAAGACGGGCGCTCGCTGCAATCCGTGAGGAGAAAAGGAAAGGACGAATTTATAACGCGGTCAGGAGAGCCTCGACGCGCCTCGGGCCGCGCCCGCCGCAGAGTCCCATCCTGGGGAGCGCGGGCCCAACGCCAGGGGGAACAACGCACGGCGGGCGCTGCAGTGATGGGGCCGCCCCGCCGCACGAGGCTCGCTCCTTCAGCAGGGCCGCACGTCTCAGTCTTGCGCCCCGTCTTCGCCACCCCAAACTCTCCGGCGGCGAACAACGCCTCCCAGGGGCGGGTCCTCGGCTGCTACCGCAGGCGGCGGAAAAGGCGCGTCCGCAGCTCGGGAGACAGAGGCGGGGTCAGGGCCGGAGAGAGGCGGCTCCGGGGCCTAGAGAGCTGGCGGGGAGGAGGACCCGCCCCCCGCCGGCCACATCCACTCCCTGCTCTCTTCACTGTGAACACGCTGCCCCGGCGTAAAGCGTCCCTAGCCATCCTAGGCGCACCTGTTTCTGTAGAAAACGTGTTTTGTGTTTCAAACATTTGTTTGTGTGAAAAGAATACTTACTGCTAGACACCAGCAATCAGTCCCTCCTCCATCAGAGAAGATCACTGTAAACATTTAGGGATCCACCCTTTGAAACTTTTCCGAGGCACGTGATGCACACACACACATATAATGGGAGTAAAGCATAGCATGGTCTTTGTAACCTGCTTCCCCCCCCCCCCACTTAATAGGTTATGGACTATTTTTTATGTTAACAAATGCAGATTCACATAACCTATTTTTACATATACAGCATATTTGTATATTTTTGTAGTTATATTGTATAATGAAAATATGTGTGAGATTCACACAGTTTTTTAATTTTGGTAAAAAAATAATAATTTTGGTAAAGACAGCAGAAATTCATGGTTGTGCCACAGGAATCTTTTACAAAAAGTTTATGGTTTGTGAATCATTTAAAAAATACCTTCATGGACCCATGGCTCAGATTATACCAATGATCATAATTATTTTTCCATCCATAGTGTACAATTCACTCTAGCAGTGGAAATCTTCTCTTTGTGGTCTCTTCACATCTTTTTCCAACGTGAGGCAAGGAGATAGCTCCCCTTCTTCTAACATCAGCAGCATGTTGCAGCATGTTCCTTACCTTACTTCTTGGGTGTCCTGACAACTTGAGTTGACACCCTCCAACAAGCTCTGATTTACTTTAGAAGAGAACAGCACAGTGGGCCCAAATCTGGTTTTTGTTTTTTGTTTTTCTGAGACAGTCTAACTTTGTCACCCAGGCTGGAGTGCAGTGGCACAATCTCAGCTCACTGCAACCTCCACCTCCCAAGCTCAATCAATTCTCCTGCCTCAACCTCGGAGTAGCTGGGATTACAGGTTCAGGCCACCCTACCTAATTTTTGTTTTTTTAGTAGAAATGGGTTTCACCAAGTTGGCCAGGCTGGTCAGGAACCCAAATCTGGTTTTAAGAGTGAAGATCTGGGCTGGGTGAAGCAGCTCATGTCTTTAATCCCAACACTTTGGGAGGCTGACGTGGGAGGATAGCTTGAGTCCAGGAGTTGGAGATCAGCCTAGGCAACATGGAGACATCTCATCTCTAAAAAAAAATGTGGCACATATACACCATGGAATATTATGCAGCAATCAAAAACGATGAGTTCGTGTCCTTTGTAGGGACATGGATGAACCTGGAGACCATCATTCTCAGCAAACTGACACAAGAACAGAAAATGAAATACCGCATGTTCTCACTCATAGGCGGGTGTTGAACAATGAGAACACATGGACACAGGGAGGGGAGCACTACACAGTGGGGTCTGTTGGGGGGAATAGGGGAGGGACAGCGGGGGGCGGGGAGTTGGGGAGAGTTAGCATGGGAAGAAATGCCAGATATACGTGAAAGGGAGGAAGGCAGCGAATCACACTGCCATGTGTGTACCTATGCAACAATCTTGCATGTTCTTCACATGTACCCCAAAACCTAAAATGCAATAAAAAAAAAAGACAAAGAAGAATCATTAAAAAAATGTGTGTGGATCTGAATGTCTTTGTGTATAGTAAACAGAATTGTCTTGGAGTATGAATTCACAGACTAGCGCTTGTTGGAGACAAGCTTTGTAGGCTTTGGTAGCAACTGTACTGTATCTTCTCTGCCCCTGGAGACCTGTCTTCCTCTTCTCCTCCTTACTCTGTACCCTGGGGCTCCCTGCTGATCCAGTTGGTTTTGGCCAGTGGGAGGCACACACAGCACTCTTCCTATGCGGTACCAGAGGATTGACTGCGTTCTCTCCACTGAAGACCCTCTCCATGTAGCCATCCCCTTTGAATTCTGGTAACAAGCTTTCCTCCCCTTTATACTCAAGCAGAGGTTGGCTCCCAGTTGGTATTGACTCCAGGAACATCCATTCATCCCTTGTAGTTGTCCCTCACCCCTCAAACTCTTGTCCTTAATTAAACTCTCCTCAATTATCCAGGTTGAGTATGCCATCAAATTCTGCCAGGGTTACTGATACCCCAGGATTAAAGATGATTTCTTAAAACTGATATTTATGCCTTTCTATATTTCCTAAGCTTTTCACAATGATGATGTTCTTCATTTATGAATTTTTAAAAATGTCATCAAGAAACATTATGAAAGTCCTCTTGCTAAGAGTCATCTGAGCAACTAGTGTTCCAAGGGACTCATTTTAGGAATGTGGCACAAATCACAACCAGAATAAGCTCCTCCTCAAACCTGCAACACTTATCTCTGGGTAGTGGGGTGTCAGGGTAGCTTCTTTCTTCTATTACCCCTATATAGTATGCATTTTTACAATGAATGTAAATAATATTTACCAAAACACAACTTTTTTTTTTTTTTTTTTTTTGAGAAGGAATCTCACTCTGTTGCTCAGGCTGGAGTGCAGTGGTATGATCTTGGCTCACTGTAGCCTCTATCTCCTGGGCCTCAGGTGATCCTCCCACCCCAGCCCCTCAGCCTCCACAGGTAGCTGGGCCTATAGGTGTGCATCACCACAACTGGCATTTTTTTTTTTCTGTAGTTTTTGTAAAGTTGGGGTTTTGCTATGTATTTTAGCCTGGGCTTACTAGGCTAGTCTTGAACTCCTGGTCTCAAGTGATCAGCCCACCTCAGCTTCCCAAGTTATTAGAACCATCAGCCTCTTCACTCTCACTCCCTTTTTTTTTTTTAGCTAGGGCTCAGTCTGCTCAGGCTAGAGTAGTGGTGCAATCATGACTCACTGTAACTGCAAACTCCTGGTCTCAATTAAAATCCTGCCTCGGTCTCCTGAGTAGCTGGGACTACAGCCTTGTACCACCATGACTGGCTAATTTCTTTTTTTCTTTTTTTGTGCAGACATGGCCTTGCTATGCTTCCCAGGCTGGTCTCCAACTTCTGGTCTCAATCCTTCTTCCCACCTCAGTGTCCCAAAGTGCTGAGATTACAAGTATGAGCCACCACATCCAGCCATAAAAATATACAATTTTACAAATAGATCACTGAGGGAAATGTGCACTTTTTGATGCTTAAAAGCAAAGGTCAGCTAATTTCTTCTGTAAATGGCCAAAGAGTAAATGCTTTAGTGTTTGCAGGCCAAGAAGCAGACTCAAGATACTATGTAGGTACTTACATAACAAGGGTAAACAAATTTCCACAACATTCTTATTGGCAAAATTCAAAGTATAATAATACATTAGGTACAATTTAGTACTTTTTTTTTTAAGATGGGGTCTTGCTCTGTCACCCAGGCTGGAGTGCAGTGGCACAATCTCTGCTCACTGCAACCTCCACCTCCCAGGTTCAAGGTATTCTCCTGACTCAGACTCCCAAGTAGCTGGGATTATAAGTGTGCGCCACTATACCTGGCTAATTTTTTTTTTTTTTTTGTATTTTTAGTAGAGATGGGGTTTCACCATGTTGGCCAGACTGATCTTGAACTCCTGACCCCAGGTGATCCATCCGTCTCAGCCTCCCAAAGTGCTGGGATTACAGGTATTGTGAGCTATTGCACCTGGCCAGTACAATTTTTTTTTTTTTTTTTTTGAGATGGAGTTTCACTCTTGTTACCCAGGCTGGAATACAATGGTGCAATCTCGGCTCACCGCAACCTCCACCTCCTGGGTTCAGGCAATTCTCCTGCCTCAGCCTCCTGAGTAACTGGGATTACAGGCACATGCCACCATGCTCAGCTAAGTTTTTGTATTTTTAATAGAGATGGGGTTTCACCACACTGACCAGGATGGTCTCGATCTCTTGACCTAGTGATCCACCCGCCTCGGCCTCCCAAAGTGCTGGGATTACAGGCGTGAGCCACCGTGCCTGGCCCGCCAGTACAATTTTTATATGGATCTACTAATGAGACAACAGAATTCTTTTTTGGTAAATAACATGTTACTTAATTGGGGTTTAATATTAGTGCTTCCTATCCAAACTGATTGCAAACTTTCATCTGTTAATAAGCCGATCTGTAATGAGGTTTTACAGATTTTACATATTTCTTTGAAAATGTCTTTTCATGAAGGTGGGCACTGTCAAATACTAACATTAATCCACAAGCATATGATTTCAATTGAGCTTGGAAGGCATTTATATAATTAGAATCTTCTCTTGATATTTGCCTTTTAATATGTCATTACATTGCAGAATAATCAGTTCTAAATGAAGGTTAGAGAGAAGCTTTTCAATTGCAAAGTTAAATGAAGTTTGAAATACGGGACTGTTCTGTTTATTCACACTAATGTCTGACGAACTGCTGGAACTGTAGTTTGACAGTTTGAGCTCAGAAAATATATCCGATGCAAATTTCTGTAGAAATAGAGATCTTGCTTTTGTTTTACCTTTTGTCAGCACAGGAAGTATATTAATCAGCTCAATATCACGTGTGAGTCAAAGAAAGTTGGTTGTTGAAATGACTTCATCACAGTATAAGTGTTAACATATAAGCACCATTTTGCCTCATAATTTTAGATTGAATTCATTAAGAAACAGCATCAAGCAACCAATTTCATTTCTGAACAGACCATGAATTACCACGGTCTAACCCAACAACCTCTTCTTTTTAAGACAGAGTCTTGCTCTGTCCCCCAAGCTGGAGTGCAGTGGTGCGATCTTGGCTCACTGCAACCTCTGCCTCAGCCTCTGGAGTAGCTGGGATCACAGGCATGCACCACCATGCCCAGCTATTTTTTTTTTTTTTAGTAGAGATGGGATTTCACCATGTTGGCCAGGCTGGTCTCCAATCAAGTAATCCGCCCAACTCCTCAGTAGGCTGAGGCAGGAGAATCACTATAACCTGGGGTGTGAAGGCTGCAGAGAGCTGAGATGGCGCCACTGCATCCAGCCTGGACGACAAAGCAAAATTCTGTCTCAAAAAACCTGTCTTTCAGCAGAGAGATTTTAGTGAGTTAGTATCAGGGGGTCATCACTTCTTTTTCTTTTTGAGTAGCTGACACAGGACAGGAAGACTAAGCGCTCTTTCTGATATCTGAAGATCCCTTTCAGGCTTCCCAGAGTGCTGGGATTACAGGTGTGAGCCACCATGCCCAGCTGAACACATATTTTTAAGCACATGCTTTTACAAATGCTCGTGAGAATGCAGAGAAAAGGGAACTGTTGGGTAAGCTAATACAGCTGCTATGGAGAATAAATGGAGGTTCCTCAGAAAACTACAAGTAGAACTACTCACATGATCTAGAAATCCATTACTTAAAATATATCCAAACGAAAGGAAATCATTATATCAAAGAGAAATCTGCACCCTCATGTTTATGGCTGCACTATTCAGAATAGCCAATATGGAATTGACCTATGTGTCCAACAATAGATCAATGAATAAGGAAAACATGGTATATGTATACAATGAAATACTATTCAGCCATAAAAAAGGATGAAATCCTGTCATTCACAGCAACTTGGATGAAACTGGAGGATATTAAGTGAAATAAGTCAGGCACAGAAAGATAAACACCACACATTCTCAGTCACATGTGGAACCTAGAAAAGGCTGATCTCATAGAAGTAAAAGGTAGAACAGAGGATGCTAGAGGCTGGGAAGGGGAGGAAAAGGTAGGGATAAGGAGGAATTTGTTAAAGGATTCAAGATTATAGCCAGATGGAAGAACTCAGTACTAGGGTTTCACACCACTGTAGGGTGACTACAGTTAACAATAATAGGCCAGGCACGGTGGCTCACATCTGTAATCCCAGCACTTTGGGAGGCCAAGGCAGGCAGATTGCCTAGGCTCAGAAGTTCAAGACCAGCATGGGCAACACGGTGAAAACCCCTCTCTACTAAAATACAAAAAATTAGCCAGGCATGGTAGTGCATGTCTGTAATCCCAGCTATTTGGGAGGCCAAGGCGGGAAAATCACTTGAACATGGGAGTTGGAGGTTTCAGTGAGTCGAGATCACACCATTGCACTCTAGCCTAGGTGACAGAGCAAACTCCATCACACACACACAATAATAATAGTAATAATATATAGTTTCAAATAGCTAGAGGGAGGATTGAACCTTCCCAACACAAAGAAATGATAAATGTTTGAGATGATAGATATGCTAATTATCCTGATCTGAAATAATTATACATCATATGTATGAAACATGACTGTGTACCCTAAATAAATATGTAGCTATTATTTGTCAATTAAAACAATACAACTTAAAAACACATGGTCTTAAACATTATTGTTTTTGCACACTCTGAAGCATATATTTTGCATCTCAACAACATAAGTGAAAAGATAACAGAGACTTTCATTATTACTGCTCCAAATGCATGAATGCTCAATAACCTGTGATCTATTTTTCATAATTCAAGTTTATAAAAAGTAACTTTGGAACTTCAGTTATTGTCAGCCACCAGACAGTTTTTCCTGCTCCACAATTAAATAAGGCAGTATTTTTGGAAGTAATGTACAAGTTGTTTGGGAGCTCCCTATACCTTGCCACTAGATAAGAGGACCTGAAATCCAGCTGGGTGTGGTGGTTTATGCCTGTAATCCCAGCTCTTTGGGAGGCTGAGGCAGGCAGATCACCTGTCAGGAGTTTGAGACCAGCTTGGCCAATATGGTGAAAACCCCGTCTCTATTAAAAATACAAAAATTAGCCAGTCATGGTGGCATATACCTGTAGTCTCAGCTACTCAGTAGGCTGAGGCAGGAGAATCACTGGAACCTGGGGTGGGGAGGCTACAGTGAGCTGAGGTGGCGCCACTGCATCCAGCCTGGGCGACAGAGCAAAACTGCCTCAAAAAACCCGTCTTTCAGCAGAGAGATTTTAGTGAGTTAGTATCAACGGGTCATCACTTCTTTTTCTCGAGTGGCTAACGCAGGACAGGAAGCCTAAGGGCTCTTTCTGATATCTGAAGATCCCTTTCAGGAAACCCACTCTGTTGGTGTTTCTTAAGATTTGATAAAGTTTGTCCAGTCTCCACACTATTTAAAGTTCTCTTTGATACACCCATGTATCAGCAGAGAGCTCTGTAGGTTGGATTCTTACTCCCACGTGGCCAGTGAGTACCAAGCAAGGCCCCAAGTAAGATCTTTGGGTGCTATCTCTTTCATGCGAGTCACTTTGATAGGAGAAAGAGGTTGGGGAAAGACGCCTGAGCCTGGGCGTGAGCTGGGTGGGAAGCACATTTAGGGTGCTGAAACCACCTCTTATTTTCTGTGTCGTTTTGCTCAGGGCCAGCCCGAAGCGAGAATGGCTTTTCTGTTGGTCAGTTCCTAGTTTTGCTACCATCATCCTACCATCCGAATCCTAGTAAGTCTATTCTCCACTGAACTGAGCTGAGTGCTGCTGACTGCAGACACGGCAGTGCCCATTTGCCACCCCAGAGAGGCCGAGCAGCGGCGTGTGTGTGGCCACGGCCCCTCCACTCTCCCAGCAAATTCACGCGGGCCTGGGCGCGGACAGAGAGCGGGTGTGTGGAGGCCGCGGGCCCGGCACACTGGGCCACCGGCGTTTGGGCGGGGAGGAGCCTGTACCGGCTGAGCGGGGAGGAGGAGGAGCCCGGACGGCGGGAGCGGCTGCGGCGCGCGGGCACCCTCGGAGCCGCGTGCTGGGGGTCCTAGGGGCCCACCGCGCTCAGGCAGACGTTCAGATGCTCCGACAGACATGGTCTATACCCCAGGAAAGGGGAGCGGGTCGGTCCACTCCCGCAGACAGGCCCACCGATGAACCGGTCGCCACCACCCCGCCGGGAAAAAGGCATTGACGGTCAGGCCGCGCTGTTTCTTTAAGACCGTGTTCCTACTAACACTGACGGTGAGTAACTTGGTCCTGGGTCTCAGGAGAGATCCCGAGGTGGGATGGGCCCTTGGCCTCCTATGGATAGGCGAGTGAGAGTAAAAATCTCTGGGCGTGAAATTTGGGGAAGTTATGAATGGGGGGAGGGGCGGGATCCGATTTGAGCCAAAGCCCCCAGGTACCTTGTACATTTTAACAGGGTTCCTGGAGAGGGCGGGTAGACTAAGCAAGGCCAAGTTCCAAAGGGAGGAGAGTCCCAGCTGGCTTCAGCGTCCACGAGGCACAGTCCTTCACGAATCTTGGTAAGCGTGGTAGCTTGTGAATTAGGGTGAATGGCAGAAGCCAGGGCTTCGGGGATGGTGGGCGAGGTAGTGGAACTGACCACTGCCGGCTGTCAGGTAGGCCTTGGGCACCCAGTTCTGCAGACAGTTTTCTGGAGTAAGAAGTGGAGCTAGCCAGCCCACACACGGGGTATCCAGTAGCCCCTTAGGAGCTCAGAGGGCACCGTAGCAAGCAGCTGGCAGCACTGTGCCTCCCTGGTGCTCACTGGATAGAAGGGGAGAGGCTGAGTGATGAGGCTCACTTCATTTTGGGTGAGCAGAATGAAGACTGTGAAGTCACAGAGGCAGTGGAACGCTACAGCTGGCTGCTGGGGCAGAGGAAAGGTGTCACCCAGGCAGGCTCAGGGCTTTCTGGCTGTGAAAGGGAGCCTCTAGGATCAGCAGGGCATGTATGGTGCCTATGGTAGACTGATTGGTTGGGTGAGGCCACCCTACCACAAGGGTCCCCCTCCTCATCCTACACAGGAATGAAAACCGTCCCATATCCACTTTATGGAAGCCTAAATACCACCCACACCATGTGGAAGGAAGGCAGAAGAGAGACCAAGTGGCACATCCTGCCACCCTCCTTTCTCCCAAACCTCTTCCTAGGCTGACCACCCTTGCTATGTCCAAGCCCAGCTTTGTGGGCTTTCTGTTCCTCGTGAGTAGCTGATGTTCAGGATTTGGGGTACCAGGGCTCTGGCAAATATGTGCTGGAGAGCAGATGAGTCTGGAAGATGACCACTGACTCCTTCCCTCCTACTTCTCCAGATGCAGAGGCCTCCATGGCTGTGATAAGCCTGCTGTTCTTGGCAGTGATGTATGTTGTTCACCACCCCCTAATGGTCAGTGAACGGATGGACCTGGACACACTAGCCAGGAGTCGACAGCTGGAGAAGCGAATGAGTGAGGAGATGCGTCTGCTAGAGATGGAATTTGAAGAGAGAAAGCGAGCGGCTGAGCAGAAGCAGAAGGCAGAGAACTTCTGGAGAGGAGACATATCCAGTGACCAGTTAATGCTGGGGAAGAAAGACATGGGGTGGCCGTTCCAGGCCGATGGCCAGGAGGGGCCTCTGGGCTGGATTCTGGGAAACCTGTGGAACACTGGCCTCTTTTGCCTTTTTCTCATCTTTGAGCTCCTGCGACAGAACATGCAGCATGAGCCGGCCTTTGATTCCAGCAGTGAGGAGGAGGAGGAGGAGGAAGTCCATGTTGTACCTGTTACCTCTTACAACTGGCTTACTGACTTCCCCTCCCAGGAGGCCCTGGACTCCTTTTACAAACACTATGTCCAAAATGCCATCCGTGACCTGCCCTCCACCTGTGAGTTCGTGGAGAGTTTTGTGGACGATCTCATTGAGGCCTGTCGGGTGCTCAGCTGCCAAGAGGCTCACCCACAGTTGGAAGACTGCTTGGGCATCGGGGCTGCCTTTGAGAAATGGGGAACCGTCCATGAGACCCAGAAATTTGATATCCTGGTGCCCATTGTCCCACCACAGGGCACCATGTTTGTCCTGGAGATGAGGGATCCAGCCCTGGGCTGCCGCTGTGGCTGTGTGCTGGTAGAGTCAGAATGCATGTGCAAGCGTGAGAAACTCCTAGGAGACGTGCTGTGCCTGGTGCACCACCACAGGGACCCCTCAGTGGTCTTGGGCAAGTGCAGTAGCTCCATCAAGGCAGCTTTCTGCACCAGCTTCCACCTAGATGTGTGCAAGACTGTGCAGTGGTTCCAGAACATGATGAGCAATGCCTGGGCCCTTGTGGCCCACAAGTATGACTTTAAACTCAGTCTCCCACCATCTACCACCTCCTGCAAGCTTAGGCTGGACTATCGCTCAGGCCGCTTTCTCTCAATCCACTTGGTCCTGGGGGTGCAACGAGAAGACACCTTGGTCTACTTGGTGAGTCACGCTCCTCATCAGGAGCAGCTCACCAGTGTGGACTGGCCTGAGTCCTTTGTGGCCTGTGAGCACTTGTTCCTGAAGCTGGTGGGGCGCTTTGCCCCTGAGAACACCTGTCACCTCAAGTGCCTCCAGATCATTTTAAGTCTCTGGCAGCATCAGAGCTTACCCCACGGAGCATCCTGCCCCATCCTCACCTCTTACCACTTTAAAACAGCCCTCATGCACCTCTTGGTACGGCTGCCCCTCACGGACTGGGCGCACAACATGCTCTCTCAGCGGCTCCAGGACATTCTCTGGTTCTTGGGCCATGGTATCCAGCAAAGGTCCCTCCATCATTTCCTCATTGGTAACACTTTGCTGCCCCTGACCATCCCGATCCCTAAGACATTTAGGAATGCTGAGCCTGTCAATCTCTTCCAACACCTGGTGCTCAACCCCAAGGCACATTCACAGGCAGTGGAAGAGTTCCAAAACCTTCTGACCCAGGTGAAAACTCTGCCTCATGCCCCACTGGCTGCAGCACCTTGATGTAAAGACCATTTATAAAAAACAGATGAAGGTATTTCTAATTCCTTGGACTACAAAAGCATTTATTTTTTCAGATGTATCAGTGGTATATGTGACTTTCACCTTGCTAGTGGGGGCTATGATAGCTAAGACACTTTAAGGAGTGTGTGAGGTGGTCATGAGGATGAGCCTAATGACCCTGCAGGGCCTAATCAAGGGTGGGTCATCTGAGATTTTCTTCTGCTTAACTTTGATCATGACCCAAAGAAGGTCAAGGGAAATGAATGTTACGGGAGGATCTTGCTGCTAAGGAGTTGAGATCCAAAGGGGGACTGTGAAGTTGTGGTTTTTTAATCAACACTGAATCGAGAGAACCAGAGAATACCTCCATTCTGGCTTATTCCTTTTTGTGATGAACTCCCAATATGTTCCTTGTGAACTGGTTTCCTTTTTGAACTGTTAGTTTAATTCCTATTCAAGCTGGTGGCACTCCATTTTATCCTAAATACTGTGATGGGCAATTTCTCATATTTTAGGATCTAATTTTTCAAAACGTCACTATTTTGAAGGTATATCCAAGGCCAGGCGCGGTGGCTCACGCCTGTAATCCCAGCACTTGGGGGGCCAAGGTGGGTGGATCGCTTGAGCTCAGGAGTTTGAGACCACCCTGGACAACATGGTGAAACTTGTCTCTGCTAAAATATAAAAAACTAGCTGGGCATGGTGGTGTGTGCCTGTAGTCCCATCTACTCAGGAGGCTGAGGCACAAGAATCACCTGGAGGTGGAGGTTGCTGTGAGACGAGATCACACCACTGCACTTCAGTTTGTGCTACAGAGTGAGACTCCATCTAAAAAAAAAAAAAAGAGGGAGAGAAAAAAGAAAATATAATCAAGATGTAAGATGTTTACATTCCATTTTCTTAATTTAATCCTATTTTTATATGCCAATAGAGATGTTTTTATGCATCTGAAAAAGCTACCTAATTTATTAGCATTGATTCACAAATATTAAGTCAACAGTAACCTGTCTCATAATTGAGACAATATGTTTACTATAATCAATGAAATAGCTAACATCTGATGACCTTTTTAGTGCCTGGAGGCAACATAATAAAGGCCTTCACAAGGACAATCTTATTGGGGGCTCTGAGATGAACAATTACTTTGTTTCTTGGGGGAGCCACTTGTTAAATGTAAAGGTTTAGCTGCCATGTTTAGCTGTGCTTTTTCTCAGTCTGGTCATGCCTCCTTTGTATTTTATTTTTTCAAAAATGACAAAGGTATTACTTGAACTGTGTTTGTGGTTTTGAAAGAGGGGTCATCACAATCCAGGTTCATAGTCAGGTTTGTATAGGAAAGGATTGGGAAGCAGTCCACCTGTAAAATCATGATTCTAGAGATATGATTGGTATATTTTTCCCTTATTTCAAAACCATGGGATGCTGAGAAGGAGTGTTAAGAAATGCAACTATGGTTATGGGTATGGTTGTTTTGGAAATGCCAATGCCGTTCTATCTACACTGCCAAGATGATCTGCTGGGGAAAGTAACCTGTCTCCACCGAATTTGACCTCAGTGGGGATCAGATGTTGGCTGTTATGGGCTTCAGTCATAGAATACATACCTTCCCCTCCAGCCAAAAATCAGTTTAAAAATGTCCCAAAGCTGGGTACAGTGGCTCACACCTGTAATCTCAGCACTTTGGGAGGCTTAGGTGGGCAGATCACCTGAGCCCAGGAGTTCAAGACAAGCCTGGGCAACATGTCACGACCCTGTCTCTACAAAAAAATAGCTGGGCGTGTGGTGGCATACACCCGTGGTCCCTGCTACTCTGGAAGTTAAGGCAGAAAGCCTAACCTCCTGCTTGAGCCCAGGAGGTCAAGGCTGCAGTGAGCTATGATAGTGCTGCTGTACTCCAGCAAGCCTGGGAAAAACAGTGAGACCCTGTCTGGAAAAAAAAAAAAAGCCTCCCAGAAGCTGATGCCAGTCAGTATTTTGGGCTCCCAGTACACAATAGCTACTGTGTTCCCACGTTGCCGGTGTCTGTCAGGTACTGCTTTCAAGGCAAGATGCAATGATGGTTCTCTGCTGGTAGGATTTTGGTGTTTTAGAAACATCCATATACTTTTTGTTTAGACAATTATTTGCTGATGTTTTAAGTTACAAGTCAATAAAGGAGACTATTTTCTGTATACATTGGAATCTATGCAGCAACACAGCCAGCAGATCAGCATTCTCACATGCCTGTTCCCAAGAAGTTCATGTTACCCTAATAGCTCCATTCAGTACATCCTGGTATTTCTCAATGTACTTTGAACCAGTCTGCCTTGTGGTTTCCCAGTGGCATGGCCAATAGCCAGAAAAGAATAAGGAAAATCTAGGTGATTAATTCTCATGTTGCCCAAACCAAAGTATCAGCCAAATTAGAAGATCTTAGTGGTTACAAACAATGTGCATAAACTCTGAAAGTCTGCTCAGGTAGAAAGAAGGTGGTATGATTTCTAGGAGTTGGTTGTCTCTAGTCTAATAGATAAAAAAGAAAACAAAGACCAGCTGTGGGTACACTAGCTCACGCAAGTAATCCCAGCACTTTGGGAGGTCGAGGTAGGCAGATCACTTGAGGTCAATAGTTCGAAACCACCTGGCCAACGTGGTGGAACCTCATCTCTACTAAAAATTTAAAGAAATTTGCCAGGCATTGTGGCAGGTGCCTGTAATCCCAGCTACTCAGGAAGCTCAGGCAGGAGAATCGCTTGAACCCGGGAGGTAGAGGTTGCAGTGAGCTGAGATCACGCCATTGCAATCCAGCCTGGGTGACAGAGTGAGACTCTGTCTCAAAAAAAAAAAGAAAAAGAAAACATAAAAGATGATTACAAAGGGAGCAGTCAGCAAAGCTGGAGTGGGGCAGAGGGTGCAAGAAAGTGTACTAAAAAAAAAAATAGTAGTAATGGAAAGAACAGACCTGTAGTGCTCTGGGAATACTCTTACAATTAAAGAGGAAACCTCTCCAGATAGGAAGTTAAGCTTTATTCTAAAACAAAACCTGGCTAGCCCCCAGGATACAACCGCAGTTATAGTAACGGGAATGCTTAGTGTTCACCAAGCTTTCCCAGTGTTCAGGACACTGTTCTGATGGCTTTACATCTGGTAACTTGTTTAATATTCATACTATAACCCCATGAAGTGGCCCCTTCATCCCCTCCATTTTACATGTGAGGAAACTGAGGCACAGAAAGGGTATGCAACTTCCCCAAGGTCACATAGCTAGTAAGTGGCAGAGTCTGGAAGAAACTGTCTGCCCTAGCAACCTTTCAGCTTGGTCTTGGAAATAAAACAAGATGTAAAGGTTAAAGGGTTTTGAAAAGCAAAAAGTACTATATTTTAGAAGATGGTATGTTACTGTTTAGAAATTCTAGAAGACAGAAATTGTTGGTTCTTAGCCCAATCTTAAGGTCAGGAATTTTGTATAACATGCAAAAATTAAAGGTATTTGCTTAGAGGCCAAAATGAATGCAAAGCCATTTCAACTACTTGCCCACTGAGTCCCAGGGACTTGATGGTTTCTATCACAGACTACATCTTTATATAACCCAGCGGCAGACTGGGAGGTCAGGGCAAATTTGAAGCCAAAAGATTTCTTGTTCAGGTGGCCAATGGATAACGCTATTGTTCCTCACCTAAACTAAGGCAGTTTCCCATTTATCTGGGGGAAGTAGAATCTCCACGAAGAGCAAAATGGGGTGGGGAAAGGAGATGACGACGGCAGCTCTGCTTTTCTGGCAGCCCAGGAGCAGTGGAGGAAGCTTACTACTTTACTTTTACACAAATAGAGGTATTGAGCTTTGTACACCACTGACACCAGTGATAAATCATTCACTCTTTTGGCACCCTTCATAGCCCTAACAACGAAACAAAGATGGCATTCAGAGCAGGAGACAAAAGACCTGCTTGCACAAGGCAGCCCTGATCCACAGAGATGCTGGGCATGGAGCTGGCTTTGCCTCCTTGCACGTGAAGCTGGAAGCAGCTCAGACAACTCCATTACCCCCACTGAACAGTCTCAAGGCTCACCTAGTGAGTCACCTAGTAGCTTTCCTCTGCCAGGGCTTCCAAGCTGTTCTTCAGAGGCTCCTGATTCAGTGTGTCACCTCCCAACCCTTGATGCTCTTAGTGTAGATATGGAATCCAGAGGATCACACTTGTCCCAATGACCTCCCTCAGATGCATTCAACAGAAAACAAGTGAGGGAGATGACAGGGACCCTAGCATAGACGAGCAAGTTCAGTGAAGGGGATACTGCCTTCCCTGTTTTATGGATGAGGAAGAAAATGAGGCCCAGAGAGGTTAATGTGCACAATCCAGGATTTAAACTTGTCTTCCAGCTGTACTCATTGAATACATATTTAAGTACTTGCTGTGTCAGCCAGCATCAGGCAGTGGGAAAACCATGTTGAGCAGATATGGCTTCATCTGCATGGAGCTGACAGTCTATGGAGGAGACAGACATGAAACAGTCACCCTAGCGCATGTAAAATTGCAGCTCTGACAAGTTCTCTTGAAGCCTCCAGTATGGAGAGTTGTGCATATCAGGGAAGGCCTCCTTGAGGAAGTAAGGGGAGCGGAAACTTGATTGGAACCATGGGGGTGAAGATGGGGATGAAGAGGATCCTAGCTAGAGGAGTGTGTGTGTGTGTGTGCAAAGGGTCAGTGTTAGGAGCAGACCTGATGAGGGGAATCTGAAGGCCAGGGGGAGCAAGGGGAGCAAGGTCCCCGAGGAGGCTAGAGAGGCTGCCAGAGTGGGGAGGAGGGGTAGGCAGACCCTTCCAGGGCCTTGTAGGACGCTTAGAGGTTCCCAGGGCAGTGGAACCCCTGAAGGGTAACATTCCAGAAGGAAGTGGTTGGGGAGAAGTGGGAGTGACAGCTCAGATTTGGACTTCCGCAAACAACACTCAGCCTGAGTAGGGGGTCAGAGCAGGCCATTGAGAAGGTAAAGTGGATGGAAGGAGAGAGGCAGGATTGGAGATTTTGAGGAGGTGAAAAGAGGTTGCTTGATAATGGATTGTGTGGGGAGAGAAAGCGAGGGAGCCCCCAAGGATGACACTTGGGGGCTGATTTGGGTTCTCAGGTGGCTGATGGTATCATTTGCTGAGATGAAGTGTCAACCCCTTTCCTCTAACTGACACAGCCGTACACTGAAGATGTGAAGGTGGTCACTAGAAGAACAACAAATAGGCTTTAAAAAGTGGTTTTTGACCAGGTGCAGTGGCTCATGCCTATAATACCAGCACTTTGGGAGGCAGAAACAGGTGGATCACCTGAGGTCAGGGGCTCGAGACCAGCCTAATCAACACGGTGAAACCCCACCTCTACTAAAAATACAAAAATTAGCTGGGCTTGGTGGAGGGCGCCTATAATCCCAGCTATTCAGGAGGCTGAGGGAGGAGAATCGCTTGAACCCAGGAAGTGGAGGCTGCAGTGAGCCCAGATTGCACCATTGCACTCCAGCCTGGGTGACAGAGCAAGACTCAGTGTCAAAAAAGAAAAAAGTGGTTTTCAACAAAGGGTGGAACTTTTTGGTTGACAAAATGACTAAGAGCACTGATGGCATTTAGTGGGCAAATGGTGTCGGAGAGGCTCAAGAGCCCACAAAGAGGGTAAACATCCTATCATGGCAAGAATTGTTTCACCCTGAATGCCAATAGTGCCCTTGAAAAGAAACAGTATAAAAGATGCCAGAAATGAGAGTTACAATAAACCCTAGGATGTGCTAGGGATATTCCTGGGAATCATCCTGGCCTTTACCCCCATAATTCAATCATTAGGGTCATTTTGTGCTCGTTTCGCTTTTTCGACTTTTTTTTCGAAGGGCAGGGGTGGTTTCCAGGAAGCTTTTCACAAGAATCTGAAAACGATGGCCTTCATCTGTTGTTGTTGTTTTTTTTTTTTTTTGAGACAGAGTCTTGCTCTATCACCCAGCCTGGAATGCAGTGAGTGGCACGACCTCGACTCTGCAACCTCCACCTCCCGGCTTCAAGTGATTCTACTGCCTCAGACTCCCGAGTAGCTGGGACTACAGGCGCACGCCACCACATCCAACTAATTTTTTAGACAGGGTTTCGCCATGTGGGCCAGGCTGGTCTTGAACTCCTGACCTCGTGATCCGCCCGCCTAGGCCTCCCAAAGTGTTGGGATTACAGGCGTGAGCCAGCGCGCCTGGCTGCCCTTCATCTTATACTGTATTATTTTATGCTATATTAAATGTACATACAGCATTTCTGCATCAGTTCTTCCCTCGCCTGGAAGGCGCCTCATTCCCTTGTTGGCTCCGGCTCCCTTCCATCCCTCTCCCCCAGGTTTTCAGCGGCTGCGCACACAACACAGGCCTGTACGGGAAATAAACCTTGTTTTCTCGGTCATCCGCCTTGCCATTAGAAAGTAAATTCCACGAAAGACGGGCCCTTGCTCGTCCTGCTCGACACTGGGTCCCCAAGTCCAGTCCTGCACCTAGTGCTCAAAAGGAGGGCGTTTTCATACTATTTTAGGGGTTTCCACACTAGACTACAAGAAGTCCACTCACATGGGGCCCTCAAGCCAGAACGCCTCACTCCCGCGCCACCCGAGCGATCCTTGCCGGCAGAGGCCCGAGGTGGTCTGCGCAGGCGCGTTGCTGGCCCCGCCTCCGGCGACGTCACGCGGCCGTTACGGCGCTCAGGCGTCTAGACGCGCGCAATTTAAAACCAGCTCTGGAGACACCGAAGCAAGATGGGACCTCCAGGCCCAGGTGAGGCCGCGCAATTGGGAGGCGCGGCGGGGAAGGGCCCGGAGTGAAGCAGTGCTTCGGGCGGGCAGGGCTGGCGGGCTGGGCTGGGCGGGGAGAAGAGATATGCTCAGCCTGGGTCTCGGCCCTGCGGCCTTGGGCAGAGAGGGCAGAGGCAGGTGTTGGGGGAGGAGAGGGTCGGCCCCTGTACGTTCAGCCAGTCAGGATGCTGCTTTGGCCCGCGTTGGAGCAAGCGCAAGACCTACCGCACTGAGTCCGGGCGCGGGCGGTGGGGCGACTTCTTCACCGGGCTCCTGAAGCATGTTCGATGTCTCTCTATTAAAAAGGTGGTTTTCCTGTAATAAACGTTATTTTCAGGGCCTTGGAAGCGATATGGTTACCGTTGTATGCTTGGCAGGCATGGATTTATTTTTACATTCATTCAAAAGTATTGAGCACTCTCGTTAGGCGCTCCCTCTGAACAAAACTGATAAAATCTCTATATTGTTGAAGTTGAGGAGACAATAAGCAAAAGAAATAATTACAGGTGAGGCTGAATGCTGTGATTGAGAATAGCGGGGGGTTGGGGATGGCTCCGCTAGGGGTTCAGGGAAGATCTTTAGGAAGAGACTAAGGAACATGTTTCAGGCAGAAGGAACAAGTACAAAAACGAGGCAGGGGAGAGCCTGACCTAGCCTAGCCTAGGACCTGACCAGAACATTGTGATCAAGCTTAGTGAGGTCTGACACGTAGACAGGGTTTGGAGGCCTTGGTAAGAGGTATGGAATTTTAGTTACGTTTTGGACATGGTATCTGTGACTTACCGGAGAGACACACTCAGGTGAAGGGGTCTGTAATTACTTAGATGAAAGTTTGGCTCTCAAGGGAGTTATATGGACCACTCAGGGAAGTGGCCCATGGAGTGAGACAAATTTGGATACCATTATCATATAGATCATGAAACAGGTGAGAACACCAGGAAGGCCTTGTACATCTAGGACCAACATTTAGAAGCTGGATAGAGAAGGATGAGCTGGGAAAACTCAAAAGACAGTGGTATAGAAGCCAAGAGTGTTTCGACAAGGAAGGGACTGTCAGCTGTTTCAAATGCTGCTGAATTCCAAGAGAAAGGCCAGAAAAGTGACCATAGGCTTTGGCAACATGGAAGTTGTAGATGATCACAACAAGATAGTTTTCATAAAGTTGGAAAAGGAACCAGACCAGAGTGGGTTGACAATGAGTATGAAATGAGGAAGTCGACATAGGAAGTGTCTTTGAGCTTAGTAACCTTCGGTTGAATGACAGGATGCATAATATGAAAGGCAAGGAGAGAAACGATGGAAAGAAGATTTGGAGAATTAAAGCATGCCTTTAATTCCAAGTTCAGTTTCTTAGACAAGGTTCTCCTTCAGTGCTTCCTATTTCTGTTAGGATCTCTTCTCCCAAAGTCTAGCTTCTTTCCTTAGCCTGTAGCCTGCTGTGCTGACATCCAAATACTGTCTTCGCAAGTCCTCTTGATTCTGTTTCTAAAAATGTCTCTTGCTATTTTTACTTTGTTTTGACCCCAGGTATGAGTTATGTGTTAATCATACTCTTCAGCTTATGAGAAGCCATCAGGGGACACCTGAGGTTCTTGTATTTTATTTATTCCCTTTTATCCCTATTCACGACCCCTATTCTTCCCTCACATGGGCAACCATTTTGTGTTTGTTGTGTATCACTATTTTTAAAGTATTCCTATTAAATATGTGTTGTACATTATTTTTTCCTTTGTATCATCAATTCTGAACCAGTTGAAGTATAAATTCTTATTCCCATTTGGGGGATGAAACAAATTCTTAGAGCATTTACTCGCTTAAATTTCACCAGCTAGTAAATGACAGAGCTGGGGTTGAATCCAGTCTTTCTGGTTCTTAAACTTGGAAACCTTCCCTAAGGTCTCTCAGTTTGGTCATCTCTCTCTTTCAGTGATCTTGTTTGTTGCTTTACTATAGTAGGCCACAACCACTCACGCATTACCATAGTCACACCCTAGACCTCCTCATTAACAATAGGTGCACTACTCTGTCATCTTAACTTTAAGTACTCCACTTTTTTTTTTTTTTAATTATTATTTTTAGAGGCAGGGTCTTTCTGTGTTGCTCAGGCTGGAGGGCAGTGGCTATTCACAGGTGCTGTCATAGTCCACTGAAGCCTTGAACTTCTGGGCTCAAGCAAACAGCCTCCTGAGTAGCTGGAACCACAGGTGCCTGGCAAAGTACCCCACTTCTCAGTCCAACCTGTATCTTTCTAATTCACTCTCTCTTTTTCCCTGACTCCAACAATTTTTTTTTTTTTTTTTGAGACAGAGTCTCGCTCTGTTGCCCAGGCTGGAGTGCAAGTGGTTTGATTTTGGCTCATTGTAACCTCTGCTTCCCAGGTTCAAGTGATGCTCCTGCCTCAGCCTCCCAAGTAGCTGGGACTACAGGCATGTGCCACCACACCTGGTTAATTTTTGTATTTTTAGTAGAGACAGGGTTTTGTCGTGTTGGCCAGGCTGGTCTCCAACTCCTGACCTCAAGTGATCCTCCTGCCTCAGCCTCCCAAAATGCTAGGATTACAGGTGTGAGCCACTGCACCTGGCCTTGTTTTTACTTCCTATTTTGGTGGGGGGGAGGTGAGACCATCCTCAAGTCTGCCATTGCACCTGCTCCTTACCTGCATCTGTGCCTGTTCCTCTGCCTTTTCTGTTTTTGCTGAAAACGGGCTCTCTGTGATCTCTACAAAGGCAACCTCTTTACCTACTTGAGTACATTGTTCTGCAAATTTTACCCTTTCTTTTGCATGATAACTGTGATAGGCTGAATAACTTTCCCTATAAGATGTCCAGAACCTGTGAATATGTTATCTTACATGGTGAAAGGGATTTTGCACACGTGATTAAGTTAAGGCTCTTGGGAAGGAGAGATTATCGTGGATCATCTGGGCGGGCCTGGTGTAATCACAACGCACCTTATAAGAGGAAGGTAGTCCTGTCAGAGTGGGAACAGATGTGATGACAGAAGAGGTAAGAGTGATTGGGGGACAGTGAGCCAAGGAATATAGGCAGCTCTGAAGCTGCAAAAGGCAAGGAGCAGATTCTCTCCTAAAGCCTCCAGAATGAATGTTACCCTCTATAGCTGCAAGAAAACACATACATATATGTTGTTTAAACTGCTAAGTTTGTGGTCATTTGTTACAGCAGCCATGGAAAACTAATACAATCTCTTCTTTTTTCTACCATGCTGAGGGTTTTTTTTTTCTATTTAAAAAATTTCTCACTTCCCTTTCAACTCTGACCCTCTCATTTCTCTCCTCCCTTTTGCTCTACTGTAAATCATCCTTGAACACCTGTCAGTGTTTGCTGTCTCCAATTTCTCTTCTGCCATCTTCTCTTGAACCACTCCAGTTCAGCTTTCTCTCTTACTACTCTAGGAAAACTATTTTTGTCAAGATCACCAGTAACCCTAGGTTGATAAAGCCAGTGATGAGTTCTCAGTCCTCATCTATATAGTTTATCACATCCTCCTCCCCTGAAAGACTTTCTTCACCTGGCTTTTAGAATGCCACATTCTCCTGATTTTCTCCCTACTTCACTAGTTACACATTTCCCACCTCTTCTGCTGGTTTCTCCTTCTTTCCTACTCTTTATTTTTACTTATTTATTTTTTGTGACAGAATCTCACTGTGTTGTCTCAGCCTCCCAAGTAGCTGGGATTACAGGCACCCACCACCATGCCCGGCTAATTTTTGTATTTTTAGTAGAGAGGCTTTCACCACATTGGCCAGGCTGGTCTCGAACTGCTGACCTCAAGTGATCCGCCTGCCTCAGCCTCCCAAAGTGCTTTCCTGCTCTTTAAACCTTTAAAGTGTTCTGGGACTCAGCCTCTTTCTCTCTCTACTCAGTTATTTAGAGATCTTATCTAATATTATGGCTGTGAATACCTTCTACATGCTGGTGACTTCCCAGTGAGTGTTTCTCACCTGGAACTTTCCCTAAATCTGAGAAAAGATATTCTCTCTGGGATTAGATATCCACCTGTCTACCCCAGTTGGATGACTAATAAGCATCTTTTTTTTTTTTTTTTTGAGAGTTGTGTTCTTGTTGCCCAGGCTGGAGTGCAATGGCTTGATCTCTTGGCTTATTGCAGCTTCTGCCTCCTGAATTTAAGCAATTCTCCTGCCTCAGCCTCCCAAGTAACTGGGATTACAGGTGTCTGCTACTATACCTGGCTATTTTTTTTGTATTTTTAGTTGAGATGGGGTTTCACCATGTTGGCTAGGCTGGTCTCAAACTCCTGACCTCAAGATAATTCACCTTCCTTGGCCAAGTGCTAGGATTACAGGCATGAGCCACCATGCACCAGGCCATAATAAGTATCTTAGCCTAACATATCCAAAATAGAGCCCTGACCTTGCCTCTTTTCCCTGCAAATATGCTTTCCTATATCTTCCTCTCTCAGAACATGGCAGCTCCGTTTCATCAGTTGTTAGGATAACCTTGCAGTCATCCTTGAGTTCCTTGTTTTCTGTCATGTCTCATATTTGATCAGGAAATCATGTCAGCTACATAAGACTAAATCCAGTGTCAGAACACTTCTCACCTCCTCCACTGCCACCTCTCTGGTCTGAGGCACTGTCATCTCTTGTCCTAGCTATCAGCAGTTGCCTTCTAACTTTCTCCCTGTTTGTCAATTCTTGCTCCCTTTTCAGTCTGTTCTTAGCATCACAGTCAGAAGGATCCACCCAAAGCGTTAAATTAGGTCACTTGATTCCTCTTCTTATCATGGTCCAATCACTCCCCTTCTCGTTTTATATTCAAAACCAGGTCTTTACAGTGGCCCATAGATAAAGCTCCCTTACCCCTCCCAGGTGTCCTTCCCCTTGTTCTGGCTAATTGGTGTTCCTGTTGGTCCAGGCCCTGGAAAGTCTGACACTCCTCAGGCTGCTGTGCCACTCCCCTGGATTACTCCACTTGAGCCACATTGGCCCCCTCAGACATGCTAGCCTGTTTCCACCTTTGTACTTGCTGTTCTGTTTGTTTTGATGTAATTTCCCCCAAGTATCTGCGTGGTCTTTATTCTTCTTTTTTTTTTGAGACGGAGTTTCGCTCTCGTTACCCAGGCTGGAGTGCAATGGCACGACCTTGGCTCACCACAACCTCTGCCTCCTGGGTTCAGGCAATTCTCCTGCCTCGGCCTCCTGAGTAGCTGGGATTACAGGCACGCACCACCATGCCCAGCTAATTTTTTGTATTTTTAGTAGAGACGGGGTCTCACCATGTTGACCAGGATGGTCTTGATTTCTTGACCTCATGATCCACCCGCCTTGGCCTCCGAAAGCACTGGGATTACAGGCACATGCCACCATGCCCAGCTAATTTTTTGTATTTTTAGTAGAAACAGGGTTTTGCCACGTTGGCCAGACTGGTCTCAAACTCCTGACCTCAAGCAATCTGCCCACCTCCCAAAGTGCTGGGATTACAGGCATGAGCCCACCGTGCCCAGCTTACATGGTCTTGATTCTGACGTTGCCTTTCTGGTGAAGCCCTTCTTGACCACTGTATTTAAAATGGCCTCCCACCTCTGTTCCCAAATCTTCCTCGTTCCCCTTCTATGATTTACTTTTTTTTTTTACCATAGCATTTATCTCCATCTTGTATCTCCATTTCACATTTCATATTTTCTAACTTAGGAAAATGTTCATACAGGAAAATTGAAAGACTAAAACAGTAAACACCTTTGTGTCCACCACTAGATCCAACAGTTGCTAACATTTTGCTGACTTTTTAATATTTACTTTTGGCAGATCTAGTTGAAAGTAAGTTGTATACGTTCTGACACTTTACCCCTAAATTTTTTATAATGCATCTCCTAAAAATGACATAATTATAATATGATATAATCATAATATCACTGTTATACCCAAGACAGTAAAAATCAGTTCCCTGATGTTATCTGATAGACTATATTCCAAATTTCCCTAATTATCCTCAAAATGTTGTTTATAGTTTTGTTTATAGCTGATTTTTCTTTTTTGGGCCAAGGATTAGCTCAAAGCTCATAAATTATTTTTGATTTTTATAACTGTTTTCTTTTAATCCAGAAAAGTTCTTTTACTTTTTTTCCTTTCTCTTTTCTTTTTTTCTTTTTTTTTTTTTTTTTTTTTTTTTGGTAGAAACAGAATGTTGCTATGTTGCCCAGTCCATTTCTTTTTTTTCCTTCTTTATTTTTTATTTTTTATGGATTGGAGGTTTCAGTGGGATGGGAGAATCACAAGGAATCAGGTGTTCAGAGGAATGTATTGAGTAAAGGTGAGGAACTAGGATGTTGCAAGGTAAAAAAATGAGAGAAGGAGAGGAAGAAAGAGGAAGAAAAAGAGGGAGAGAGAACAAGAATATTGCTTCATTCTAAAAATGGGTATTAATAATGGCCGATCAATATTTTGTGTATTTAAAATGGAGAACTCTATAAATATTTATTGAGTTTACTTGTTCCGGATCTGAATTGAAGTCCTGGATATCCTTATTAATTTTCTGTCTCGTTGAGTCTAAATCTCGTTATGGGTCTTATGTATCTGGGTATTAAGATCTCTTATTGTTGCATTGATCCTTTTACCACTGTATCTTTGTTGCTTTGAAATCTATTTTATCAAATGTGAGAATTGCAACTCCTGCTTTTTATTTATTTATTTTTGCTCTCCATTTGGTTGGTAAATTTTTCTCCAACCCTTTGTTTTGAGTCTTTGTGTATCTTTGGATATACTGTTAGGTTTTGGCTGTATCTTTTGATTGGAGGATTTAGTCGATTTAAATTTAGGGTTACTGCCATTTGATGTTAACTGGCTATTTTATCCATTCGTTGATGTAAATTCTTCTTTATGTTGATGCTCTTTACTTTTTGGTATATTTTTAGAAAGGCTCATACTGGTTGTTCCTTTCTATGTATAATGCTTCTTTCAGAAGTTCTTGTAAAGCAGGCCTGGTGGTAATAAAATCTCTGAGTACTTGCTTGTTCATAAAAGATTTTATTTTTCCTTCAATTGTGAAGCTTAGTTTGGCAGGATATGAGATTCTAGGCTGAAAATTCTGTTCTTTAAGTATGTTGAATATTGGCCCCCACTCTCTTCTGGCTTGTAGGGTTTCCACTGAGATCTGCTGTAAGTCTAATAGACTTCCCTTTGTGGGTAACCTGGCCTTTCTCTCTGGCTGCCCTTAGTATTTTCTCCTTCGTTTCGATCCTGGTGAATCTAATGATTATGTGCCTTGGGGTTGCTCTTCTTGAGGAATATCTTTGTGGTGTTCTCTGTATTACCTGGGGTTGAATAGTGTCCTGCTTTGCTAGATTGGGAAAATTTTCCTGGATAATATTCTGAAAAGTATTTTCCAGCTTGGATTCATTCTCTCCATCACATTCAGGTACACCAGTCAAACATAGATTGGGTCTTTTCACATAGTCCCATATTTCTTGGAGACTTTGCTCATTCCTTTTCATCCTTTTTTCTCTATTCTTGTCGTGTTGTTTTATTTCATTAAGTTGGTCTTCGACCTCTGATATTCTTTCTTCTGCTTGATCCATTCTGCTATTTAAACTTGTGCATATTTCACTAAGTTCTCGTGTTGTATTTTTCAGCTCCTTTAGTTCATTTATATTCCTCTCTATATTGTCTATTCTTTTCAGCATTTCATCAAACCTTTTTTCAAAGTTCTTAGTTTCTTTACATTGGGTTAGAACAAGTTCTTTTAATTCCCAGAAGTTTCTTATCATCCACCTTCTGAAGCCTACTTCAGATAATGGAACACAGTCCTTTTCCATCAGGGCTTGTTTTGTTGCTGATGAGGAACTGCAGTCCCCTGTAGAGGGAGAGGGGTTCTGATTTTTGGGTATTCTCAGCCTTCTTAGGCCGGTTTCTTCCCTTTATTATAAATGTATCCATCTGTTATCTTTACAATTACCGCCTTTCTAATTAGGTTCCTGAGTCGACGTCCAATTTATTGATTCCCAGTGCTGGGATTCAAGCAACCCACTGCGCCGGCCAAAATAGCAGCTATAAGACTGATGGTGCTCTTCTGCCCGGGAATCTCTGGTCTGGCTTCCTTCTTGAGTCCGCAACAAGCGGCTCTGCCTTCCCGGAGCTCCAAACACGGGTCAGTAAGGGAACCAGTCCCGTTTACTCTGCATGAAGAGCTGCCGCGCCAAGGCGTGGGCAAAACCGCTGCACCAGCCACAAGAGTTGCGCTGGCGACCCGTGGGGCTCCTCCACTAGAAATCTGCTGGTCCGTGAGCGACAAAAATTCGTCTGAAAGTGTGGCGTCCTCTCGTTCTCTGAGCTTTCACTGGGAGCTACAATCCTGAGCTATTAGTGATCAGCCATCTTGGATCTCTCCTCTCTTCTTTTTTTTTTTGAGATGGAGTTTTCCACTTGTTGCCCAGGCTGGAGTGCAGTGGTGCAATCTTGGCTCACTGCAACCTTCACCTCCTGGGTTCAGGCAATTATCTCGCCTTGGCTGGGATTACAGGCGCCTGCCATCATACCCAGCTAATTTTTGTATTTTTAGTAGAGATGGGGTTTCACCATGTTGGCCAGGCTGGTCTCAAACTCTTGACCTCAGGTGATCAGCCAGCCTCAGCCTCCCAAAGTGCTGGGATTACAGGCATGAGCCACCATGCCCAACAGCCCAGGCTGTTTCTGAGCTCCTGGCCTCAAGTATTCCTCTCGCCTCTGCCACCCAAAGGGTTGGGATTACAGGCATGAGCTACCATGTCCAGCCTTTTTTTTTTTTTGGTTGTTATCTTTTAAATTAAGAGACTAAGCCAGTTTTCTTGAAAACTGCCCTGCATTCTATATTTGTTTGAGAGTTTCCTTGTGATATCATTTAACTTGTTCCTCGACCCCTTGTTTTTCTTATAAACCGCATGTTCAAGATCTAAAGTTCTTTGGTTAAATTTAGGTTAAACATGTTTGGTCAAAATATTTCCTGGATGATGCTATGAATTTCACATTGTGTCACATGAGGAGATGAGTTTCAGACTGATTTTTAGTGAGGCAATATTTGACTGGATGATGCTATGAATTTCACATTGTGTCACATGAGGAGATGAGTTTCAGACTGATTTTTAGTGAGGCAATATTTGACTGGATGATGCTATGAATTTCACATTGTGTCACATGAGGAGATGAGTTTCAGATTGATTTTTAGTGAGGCAATATTTAACTGGTTAATACCGTGACTGGTAGAGTTTTTATTGTAAAAGACATTTTTCCCCTTGCAGTTAGCAAGTAATTTGGATGATTCTCTGGAGCATTCTATTTGTTTTATATGTCTATGTTGTTTTTTCTCTGTCTGCTTGCCAAGATAGGGAGGAGCTGGGATTAGAGCCCAGCCTGTCTGACTCTATATCCCATATCTCACCCTTGTCTCAGCATCCGTCTCTCCCTTACCTGGCATGATGGGTTATATGTATCTGTTGTCCAGTTAGTTTATGAGCTTATCAGAGGCAGCAACGTTATATTATCCATCTTTATATCAGTGCAGTACTTATATTCACAATAGCTGCAGAGTGGATATTTGTCTGAGATTAGCAGGGAAGCATCAGAAACTTATGGCCTCCCTCCTCCAAGAAACACAAACTCTAGAAGTTCTATTCATTAAGTATTAGAGTTAGAGAAGATCTTAGTGGAGAGTGTGTGGTGAACATCCACCCCTGTGACAGTCTCAAGTCTTCTTTGGATATAGGAAATGTTCTCTTGAAAGTTTCTTGAGCAAGTATTTTGTTCCAGCACTGCTAGCCACAATCAATAACTCTTCTTCAGAGATCCGAGGACAGCCACACAGTGCCTCCTCCCCTTCAGAGCGGGTGTTCCCGATGCCCCTGCCCAGGAAGGCCCCTCTCAACATTCCTGGAACCCCAGTCCTTGAAGACTTTCCTCAGAATGATGATGAGAAGGAGCGGCTACAGCGGAGGCGCTCAAGGGTCTTTGATCTGCAGTTCAGCACTGACTCGCCTTGCTTGTTGGCCTCCCCGTCCAGCAGGTGAGAGGCTTCAGGGCTGGCTCTCCTTGAGGCAGCTGCCTTGATGTGGGCTGTGTGGGTCTAGGTATCTCCACGAAACTTCATGGGTCTAGGTTTTGAAAATTTAAGCTATCATGGACTCTTGCCAGAGTTGTTTTTGTTTTCCATTTAGGAGTATTGATGTTTCAGCTACTATCCCTAAGTTTACAAACACGCAGATCACAGAACATTACTCCACCTGTATCAAACTATCCACAGAAAATGTGAGTATCTGCTGGTTTATTATTGAAGAAGTGATCCCTTGATCACAGGGGAAATCCAGCTATCTTGTTTATGTAGAGAATGTACGATCAATGATGATAATTCTCTGGTGAGTCATCTTAGTGCTGGTGGTTTCCAGTAGTGCTGGTGGTTTTAGTGTTTTTTTTCTGGACCCTTGGTGCTCCTCCTGAGAGGCTGTCTGCTATCTGCTGTGTATCTAGAGAGGCAGCATGGTGCATGAGTTAATAGTAGAGTTCTGGAGCTAGCCTGAGTTGGAGGTTACATGCTTGTAAGCTGTGTGTGAGCCACCCAACCAGTTTGCTTCTGGGTCCTTCTCTGGAGAATGAGGATAGTGCCTGCCTCATGAAGTTGCTTGGAGGGTGACTGAGTCCCTTTGTGTGCAGTGCTTAGAGCAGGGCTTGTACACAGTGAGCATTCAGGAATTTCCCTAGCCTTGAACATGAGGACATGCCTATGAGGATTTGGCTCTTGACAAGTGTTTTAGGGAAGAGAATAGTGACAAGATGTGGGTATTCATTTATAAAGACTTAGCTTCCTCTGTTCAGACTAGTATTATTTGCATGAGCCTAGGCTGTAAATAACAAACCTTTCTGCAATTTTCTGTTTTCAGAAAATCACTACCAAGAATGCTTTTGGTTTGCATTTGATTGATTTTATGTCAGAGATTCTTAAACAGAAAGACACTGAACCAACCAACTTTAAAGTAAGAAGGATGTCTACTTTCTCTTCTGAATTAACTGATGATGAATTTCTACTACTTAGCATAACACAATTGAATTCTGCAAATACATGAGAGCCTTCTCATTTAGACATTATATTAATTTACTTTCTTTTCCTAAACTGATGAAATACAGAGACAATATATATTCTGTTTATTCCCTATCAGTCATAGAGTGATCTTTGTCATTGTCATTTACTTGGGGCAAGTAAGTATTTTATGAAGCTTGCTGTGTTTTACCTGTTCAGAAGTTCTTCTTCATGCATCTTCGTGAGTACAGCTTTGATTGTTTGACCAGGTGGCTGCGGGTACTCTGGATGCCAGCACCAAGATATATGCCGTGCGCGTGGATGCCGTCCATGCTGATGTATACAGAGTCCTTGGGGGGCTGGGCAAAGATGCACCATCTTTGGAAGAAGTGGAAGGCCATGTTGCAGGTAGGTGGGTAGGGATTTGGATTTACCTGGCTTTTTTTAGGGCATACCAGGTAGTTATTTGAGTAATAGTAGAAGGGGGTTACAAGAAGTTAACGATTTCATTTTCTTGAAGACAGGACATTTTTAGAACTATATATGGTCTTACATGAGAGGATACTCAAACGCTAGAGTTATGTTTCCTTGAAAAAGAGAAGGGCCTTATAATAGCATTTATATTTTATTTAGACCAGGTTGAGTAAACATCACCAACTAAGGAGCTTGTGATCTGGGGTGGGGGTCTTTGGAAACTGACTTGCTTAAGAAGCCAAATCTAATAGTTTGGTTTCTCTATAAGTTGCAGATTAAATATGCCTGATGCTTTGAGAGAACTGCATGTTTTTTTTTTTGTTTTTGTTTTTTTTTTGAGACAGGGCTCACTTTGTCACCTAGGCTGGCATGCAGTGTTGTGATCTTGGCTCACGGTAGCCTCTGGCTCCCAAGTTCAAGCGATCTGCCTGCCTCAGCACCCCAGGCAGCTGGGACTACAGGTGTGCATCTCCATGCCTGGCTAATTTTTGTACTGTTTTGTAGAGACAGGGTTTTGTCATCTGGGGCAGGCTGGTCTTGAACTCATGAGCTCAAGCGATCCATCTGCCTCAGCCTCCCAAAGTGCTAGGATTACAGGCATGAGCCACCACACCCAGCCTCACATGTTTAAATTACGACCATTCTTTTGGGTTTTGAAAAACTTGAGTTAGTAAGTTCATCATCACATGCATAAAGCAGCCCTTGCAGTACGCAGTTGTATTTCTCCTTTCAGATGGAAGTGCTACTGAAATGGGAACAACCAAAAAGGCTCCAAAACCAAAGAAGAAGCACTTACACAGAACCATTGAACAGAACATAAATAACCTCAATGTGTCTGAAGCAGATCGGAAGTGTGAGGTGAGGAACTGGGTGCGCAGTGTGGTTTCTGACTAATTCAGAACCTTAGGGGCTGAGACTTGGCAGGACTAAGGCTGCCTTGTTGGTATGTGCCTGTTTAAGCCTCAAGGGAGTAAAATATTCAACTGATATCTCTGCATTATCATCCTTTAGCTTGATAGTAAAGACTAAAAGTAGTCCCTCAGTGTTTCAGAATTATTGGGAAGGAAGAGACTGTGAATTGCTGAGAAATCTAATTGATAAAAAGTTAATTTTATTTTCTAGTAAATGTAGCAGTGGTTACATTAGCTAACATTTAATGTACACATAGTGAGCACCATATGCTTCATTAAACCTGTAACCTGTGTTGACTCATTTAATCCTCACAATATTCTTGTATCATTTTAGGAAGAGATAATTGAGGCACAATGACTTGCCCAAAATGACATATCTAGTGAGTGAGGAAGAGTTGAAGCTAAGTGGTCTAGCTCCAGAATCCTAGCTTTAAATTATCTATCTAGCAAATCCTAAGGAATCTGCTTAAACAAATGGTACTGGAGCCCTCATTTATACTTAGCACAGTTCATTTAAAGCAAACAGAGGTTACTACAACTTTATTTTTTAATTCTGCTATTAAAAACATTGTTTCATTGTTTTTAATGAAAACAAAGATAGTATCCTAATACATACTATCTTTGCACTCCTATAGGAGAATATCTATAAGAAAATTCTGAGACATGGACCCAGACCCTGGATAGGGGCATGCTGGCTGGTGCTGGTGTCTCAATAAGGCTGGTTGGTTCTGTGAGTGCCAAAATCTGCAAGTGGGGTTCACCTGCTACTACAGGTGGGCCTTGCTGCAGCCAGGTTAGAACACTGCTGGGTGATGCTCTCCTAACATGCAGCCCGCAGACAGGAGCTAGTGCCCTTAGAGCCTGCAGTCTCTCTCTAGTGCCCCTCTTGGTAGATCCTAACAGCTGAATGTCCCAGATCCTGCATCATAGCCAAGGAGAGAGGGTAGGCTTAGAGCTGAGAGGCAGTAGCTTAGTAACTGGCACATGGTGAAGAGTCATGAGGATTACTGTCAAAAGGCTGTGGGGTGGGGAGATTGTGTGTGTGTGTGTGTGTGTGTGTACACATATGTACATATATATAGAGAGAGAACAAATGCAAAATGCTACCTATTGAATCTAAATAGAAGTTTTACAGAGATTCATATTACATTCTTCTGGATTTAAAATTTTTTATGATAAAGGGGAGGAAAGAACTGAAAACACTGAATATAGGCAGTTGTTTTGAAGAGTTTTGCTATAATTTGGAGCACAGTACTGGGAGAGCAAATGGAAGGGAAGGTAAGGCCAAGAGAATGGGAGAAATGACAGCATGTTTTGTTAATGGCAGCAGTCTAGTGGAGAAGGGATTATTGATGATGCAGCAGAAAGAAGAATTGCCAGGGTGATGTCCTTGAGCTGGTAAGAAGGGAATGGAATGGACAGCACAGGTGGGGCTCAGATGACAGGAGTGGGATTCGGGTGTACCCATGGGGGAGCCTTCTGGAACTGTCTTAAAACAGAAACCCAGGTCATCAGCTGACAGTGAGGACTGGGGAGAAAGGCACTGGGGTGTGAGGAGAGGAAAGGGTAGGAAAGAGTTCTCTAGGAGATGGGTGAATAAATGGACTAGGGAGAGATGGTGTGACTGTCAGACAACTTAGGGTCTACTTGAGGGTGGTGACAGATGGATTTAAAATGAGGTCAGTCAGCATGATTTTGTATCTTTCTCCACCCATGATTAGCTGTGGGTACATTCATGGAGTAGGCAGAGAGTTGGGTTTAATATGGGATCCTGTTGAGCTGAGTGAATGGACACAGCTGGAAAGGGGCACTGGAGATAAGAGCATGTGTGAAGGCATGGTTGCAATCACTGCTTAGGGAATTTTGCCTGGGAAGAGAGGGGAATGAGAAACAGTGGAAAGTAATATAATCAGTTGATTATAGGCCTGGTGGGGTCAAAGACTTCTTGGTGTTGGGGACAAGAAGGTGTGAGCTGGAAATGGAGGTGGTTGTCAGAGAGGGGCTCTTAGAATTGAGCATTTGGAGAGGTTGCAGTCACGGTTAATGACTCAACTCAGAGAACGGGCAAGGGAGCAAATGGTGGAGGCAGGGTGGGGGCTCTTACTAGGCTGTCTTGGAGTCCTGGGCTTCTTAGGATGAAGGAGAGGATATCAACCAAGAGACAGTATACTGGATGGATCAACATGGATATTGAAATCAATAAGAGCTACACCAGGAATAAGTTTGGAGACTAGTAATGAGCCATGAACTAATACTAAGATCTTCCGAGAAGAGGGACAGGTTGTGACCTGGGGATTGGAAGATGACTACAACACAGATGTGCAGACAGTGGCAAAGGCTGATGTACTTAGAGCTGGGGGCATTAGCAATTGGGAGAGGATAGTTTGATGCTATAATTATCTGGCTCACCTGTAGGCCACTGGTTTGAGTGCTGTGAAAAGAAAGCAGCCACTGCAGAGGCCCACAGGGGAAGCTAGTCCTCAGGCGGGTACCATGTCTCAATTGGAGCAGTGCCCCTCAGCCTTTTTTTTTTTTAAATCACTTTTGACCCTTCAGATCATTTTAGACATTTTGTGCCTACTCCTTCCCCTTGAAATGAAATACTAAGGAATAAGATTCTGTCAGGGTGGAGGTTAGGATAGGCAAACATTATTGTAACATCTGATATTTTTTTCCACCTTGCCTTTAGGAAACAATTTTCACCCCTTAAGAGTAAAATGAGAACATTTGAGGATACATAAATTAGGGCAAGTAGGTGGGGAGAGTCCTCAGGAACAAAGTGGGCAATAGAGAGAATTTTGCTGATGACTGAGTCTAGAGGGCCCTGGGGAAATACCAGTTTTTGGAGCTGTGGTGGAGTGGGAGGTGGCATCAGAGCTCTGTAGATCTGAGTCCAAGAAATATAGAATTGTGGGTGTCTTGGGTCTTTTTGTGTGATTAATAAATAAGCCAGATAAAGGGCAACAGTGAGATGAATGCCAGTGTTCTTATGGCAGATGGTAGTGGTAAGACTGAGCATGCAGGGGCTAGGGAGGTGGGGCCTTGCCAGGCTTACTCTGAGTGGTGAGGTGAGCAGGGGATTGCTGCTCACTGAGAATGCGGCCTGAAAGGGAGGGGAGAGGTGAGAGTGGCAGGCTCTTGTGGGGAGAGAGAGTTGTATTTTTTCCTTATGTTGTGTGTCAGCTTTGACCGTGGGTGATGCCAGATGTGGAGGCGGATGATATAAAGTTCAGATCCAAGTTCCTCCACCTTAGCTGTATGACCTGGGAAGAGGTGAGGTGTGACTCTCACTGTGTATACTGTAAAAACAGAGAATGCTGACCCCACCCACATCTGGGTTTTAAATTAGTGAATCTGTCAAGGTCTTTAAACATGGTGATATGCTACACACATCTGAAGTGGCATTATTTATTAGTCATAGGGATCCAGAAAGCCCTTTCTACCTTCCCTTCCCTGCCCCAATTCTCCTAATCTGGAATTTATCTTACTGTCTTTCTTTTTTTTTTTTCAAGACGGATTCTTGCTCTGTGGCCCAGGCTAGAGTACAGTGGCATGAAATTGGCTCACTGTAACTTCTACCTCCCCAGTTCAAATGATTCTCGTGCCTCAGCCTCCCATGTAGCTGGGACTGCAGCTGCATGCCGCCATGCCCATCTAATTTTTTTTTTTTTTTTTTTTTGTATTTTTAGTAGAAATGGGGTTTTACCATGTTGACCAGGCTAGTCGTGGACTCCTGATCTTAAGCGATCTGCCCACCTCAGCCTCCCAAAGTGCTAGGATTACAGGCATGAGTCAGTGCCCCCAGCCCTTACTGTCATTCTTGCTTTTGGTTCTATAGTGAAATGTTCAAATCAGTCAGGGATTATTAAATACAGGATGTTTTCTAGTCATTGTCTTTCTTACCAGGTAGACTCAATTCTGGGAGCCTGAGGAAAATGGACTGTTTCCCAGGCCTGCATTAGCCTTTCCCATGGTTATAAAGAGAAAAGGAGAGAGCAGCAAGCAGGGCTGCTTCCTCTAAGCCTGATATTGACAAGCTGTGGTATGTTTATGCCAAGTGAAATGAATACTGTCATGAAGAAATGCCAAATACGCCAATCCTAGAAAGCTTTTTTTTTTTGCTCTGTAAGCTGCTGTAAACTTGTATTCACTAAGAGTATGGAAGATAAAAAAGAGGGATGGATTGTCACAAACAGAATTTAAAGCTTCAACTGTTTATTAAACTCTCATTTTCTTTTCTTTTTAAGATGGAGTCTTACTCTGTCACCCAGGCTGGAGTGCAATGGTGCTCACTGCAACCTCCACCTCCTGGGTTCAAGCTATTCTCCTGCTTCAGCCACAAAAGTAGCTGGGATTATAGACATATAGAGTATACCACCACGCCTGGCTAATTTATGTAATTTTAGTAGAGGTGGGTTTTTGCCATGTTGGCCATGGTGGTCTTGAACTCCTGACCTCAAGTGATCTACCTACCTCAGCCTCCCAAAATGCTGGGATTAAAGGTGTAAACTCTCATTTTCTTGGAAATCAGAAAGCAAATGTGCAGATGTATCTAGACCAGTTGGGAGCACTTTTTTATATATGAGCTGATCTCTTTTGAACACAGCTCTTTAGTGTGTGCAAAACAGTTGCCATCATAGGGGATTCAAACATGATTATGCTTCAGTTCTTTATACCAAGAGAATACAGATAGATGAATGCAGGGAAAGTCAAGGCACATACTATAGGAAACCAGAGTTGGTAGGGCTCCGAGTTTATGGAACAGGCAAGACTTGTACTGAGCCTTGAAGGAAGGCTAGGTATCTATCAGGTAGGCATCACCAGGGAGGTGGTTCTAAGCAGAGGTATAAGCAAAAACCACAGCACAGGAAGATTCTGGATAGGAAGCTGGAGAGTGTACGAGTTTGGCTAGAGCTAAGGATTTGCTTATTAGAAATCACCTAAAGAGACCTTGAACTTTGTAATTTAGAGCATTCCAAGGCCTTTTATTGTGGTCCTTGCTTACTGTGGACCCTTGTTTCAGAAGGTTTCAACTACTCAAACTACATAGCCATAATTCATTGTCCCATTGAATTGCTTAGGGATATAAATCCCACTGTGCTCACACATCGTATAATTCTACACACAAGTGAACATTATCATAGTGTTTTCAGCTTTAATGTGGGTCAATGTACAATTTTCATGTTGGCTCTGAAGGGCTGAGTATAATTCCATTAACTACCTACCCAAGACTTATAGGGATGCAAGGCTCCGGGTGGGAAACCATTCACATTTGAAAAGGAAATAGGAGTCAGAGCACTGGTATTTTTAGGATGGGAATTGTGAGAAGCCAGAGATAAGGATCATATTGCTGGCCCTGGGGATGGAAAGATGCACTGGGAGGAAACCAACCTGGCCTTATGGCTGCCTGAGGGCTAAGGAGACGGAAGAATGTAGAGATGATGCATGTGCTGCTGTGGGATAATGATGAGACGGGCTTATGAGATGGCAGGAGCTGAACCTGAGTTCTGATGAGCTTGAACCCTGAGCTAAGGGGGCCAGGGAAGAGCCAGGGAGCTGTATCTGTGTTGTCCTATCCAAGCCCCACTCTCTCCCTAGGAGCCACGTTCTGGGACATTGGGAAGACCTGTGAACCCAATACCCAACCGCATCTCCTATCTCAAGGTCACCTGCAGAGTCCCAGCAGGGCTTCTACCCTCTTGCTACACATTTTTATGGCTTGCCCTGTCCCTGTATGCCCAGTGCCTTCTTTTGCCTTTGGGCTTGGTATCACATGGCCATGCCACTCCTCATAACCCAGCCTTAGGGACCTTCTTACAATCTCTCTCAGGTTTTGCCCAGCCAGCTAGCCCTATTGACTGTGTCTGTCCTTTTTCTGGATAATTTGGGTATGTTCTTCCAAACCTCAGAAGGTTCAGAAAAACAATAGAGCCTTGTGACTAGCTCTATCACACAGGCTTTTTAAGCCAACAGAATTTGTTAGTGACTTACAAAAGAAGACCAGCAGCAAGGATACACGTCCAGGTGTATTATAAAGAAGCCATTTGACATAGTGTACACTTGCTACTACATACTGTCTTCTTGAACAGTATATGTTTATTCATCTGACCATAACCTTTTGAACCGGGATTTTACCTGATCAATCAGAAAGCCACTTTTGTTGGGTATGGTGGCTCACACCTGTAGTCCCAATACTTTGGAATGCCAAAGTGGGTGGATTCCTTGAGTCAGGAGTTTGAGACCAGCCTAGCCAACATGGTGAAACCTCATCTCTACTAAAAATACAAAAGTTAGCCAGGTGTAGTGGCACATATCTATAGTCCCAGTTATTCAGGAGGCTGAGGCCCAAGAATCGCTTGAGCCTGGGAGCAGAGGTTGCAGTGAGCCAAGATCATGCCACTGCACTCCAGCCTGGGTGACAGAGCAAGACTCCGTCTTAAAAAAAAAAAATCCACTTTTGACCATGTGCAGAGATATTTCATTCCAGTGTATACACCTGCTATGGAGTGTGGCTGAATGCATATGAGTTTATATTTCTCTTGGCCACATATCATAAATCTTCCGTTTCTTCTCTCTTTCTGTGTTCAGATTGATCCCATGTTTCAGAAGACAGCAGCCTCGTTTGATGAGTGCAGCACAGCAGGGGTGTTTCTGTCCACTCTACACTGCCAGGACTATAGAAGTGAGCTGCTCTTTCCCTCTGATGTCCAGACTCTCTCCACTGGAGAACCTCTCGAGTTGCCAGAGTTAGGTTGGGTAGAGATGACAGATTTAAAAGGTAAGTACAAGTGATGCCTTTCACCAGAGCATTTCGGTCATTGGAGAATTTTTTACATAACCACAATAAGCTCATCATGCCCTTATGTTGTTTAAATTACCCAGAAGTTTCCGTTGGGATGCCAAATTTGATATCCTTTTGGGACTGCCTAGCAACCCACTCACTTTTGTCTTCTTTGCAGCATGGAGTCTAAAACAGTAAACCATTGCCTCTTGGTCTCAGTACCTTAGGTCACCATACCTTAGGTGCCCACTGTTAGCAGCCAGCTCTCAAAGTCACATTTTGGAGCCCTGGATTCCTCCTGGAGTGTCCGAGTTTGTAATTGGCAAAGGGACTTAGAGAGACCTTTGCCCAGCTAGGGAGGCTTTGTCCTTATTTGCTCCCCATAGGTGGCTCTGAGGAGAAGAGGGCATTGTGAATTGTTTTGAGACTCCTCTGTGGCAGTCTAAGAACTGATCTCTCCTATTATCAGTCCCCATTTTAGTGTCCCTCCCATTCTACACCTCCACCCCTGAGCTGGGGAATCTCCTCAGGACTTTGTAAGGAGGTGCCAGCAGGTGGGAAGGCCAGGTGCTGGCAGTACAGTAGCTACACTTGGGCTCCCAGAAAAGCTGCCCCTTCTGCAGATTTCCACTGCAGTGTCCATACTCTTGCCCAGCTTCATCTCAAGTGTGGTCAGTTTTACACACTGAATGAAATCAATACTCCTCCTCCAGGCTGTGTAGTTGTTACAGCTCCCATTCTTGTTCTTTCTATTCTTGCCTCAATTTTGCTTACTATAACTTTTATGCTAACAATCTATTTTCCAAGTTTATGTTCTCATCTGGGGCTCTAATTCTCTGAGGTAAGTCTTCTCTAGTTAGTTTAGTTTGGGACTAAAAATAAGTTAAAGTACTGTTACATGATGGCCTATGCACTTAGTGTAGTTTTAAGATGAAACATTTGATTTCCCAGCTATAACAGGTCACAGAGTTCATTTCAGAATCAAACGTCTGTGCTTTAGGTTTCTCCTCTAGTATTTTAATAAAATTTGTGCGAAGACAGTGCATAGCCTCACTCCAGCATGGGTATGGCCTATGCATCCGCTCACTGCCAGGAGAGGCAGGGACACAGAGATTGGCAGCCAGCCAGCCAGCCACTGATGATACTTGAGCCTTTGCTGGAGAACAATGAGGTGACTGTGCTTCTCATGTCTCGTGCCACTTTGTGTCATTCTGAAGGAAGTGAGGAATGCACTTGACCCACTTCTAATCTCTCTTTGTGATCTTGCTGTCCTCTCCAGCATCCTTGCAGCAGTGTGCAGAAGATCGCCAGATCTGCCCTTCCCTGGCCGGGTTCCAGTTTACTAAATGGGACAGTGAAACACATAATGAGGTGTGGTCAACTTTTAGTAGCTCATGGTTTCAGTTAGTTGGCTCGAGATTGGTCCTGCCCAATGGGAACCAAAACTGTGGCATCATCTTTATTTAGCCAGGAGTACAGAAAATATTTCCTTTGGCACTTTTATAGGGACAAAAACCCTGAGGGAGGAGGGGTAGGGTTGTGAACCCCAGCAGGACTCTTCTAGAGGTAAGTGAGTTCCAGGATCAGCTTCTTCTTCCTCTCCTGCTTCCCCAGGGTAAGGCGGCCCTGGCATTAATGGGCGAGCATTTATAATTAGATTTACTTTTGAACATGGTTGTCCCAGTGGCCTCGAATCTCTTAGGCTGCTATGAAGCTTGAGGAATTTCCTGCTGTTTGGGACTGAGTCCCTTGGCACAGAGTTTCCTGAGAAGTTGTTATGTGTAGAGATTTCTTCTGTGTATTTTTAGCATGGCCCCCTTTAGCCTACTTACTATAATTTCCAAAGTAAATGGTCTCCATGGAAAACTGTTTTCTATAAACATGCAGTTAATGGATACAGATTCCTGTTTCATGTTTTACAAAATGTGCCTGACAACAATGCAGCTTCATCCTGTGCTGCACAATATAAACTTCCTCCTCACTGTACTATCGTGAGAATCCTGGCCCAGGCAGGCAGGGGATGGGGAAGTGTATGTAGCTCAGGGAAAGGAGGCTGGAGGCTGAAATTTAAGGGTGAGAAGGACATCCCTCCAGTGGTGAATTGAAGTGGTTATAGGAATGAGAATTAAAGAACCCTCTTTTGTCCCTCCAGTCTGTGTCGGCCCTGGTAGACAAGTTTAAGAAGAATGACCAGGTATTTGACATCAACGCCGAGGTTGAGGAGAGTGACTGCGGAGACTTCCCTGATGGGTCCCTGGAGGATGACTTTGATGCCATTGATGAACCCAACCACACTGCATTTGGGGATCATGAAGAGTTCAGGAGCTGGAAGGAATCCTGCCACGTTCAGAGCTGCCAGTAAGGCTCTCAGAGTCACAGAAAGTGTTTCCATAGGAGTTTTCCATTGGTTCTTTTTTCTTTTTTTTCTAATTAAAAAAAAAATATTTCTTTTTTAAATAGAGATGGGCATCTCACTGAGTTGCCCAGGCCGATCTTGAACTCTTGGGCTGAAGTGATCCTCTGACTTTGGCCTCCCAAAGTGCCAGGATTACAGGTGTGAGCCACAATGCCTGGCCTCTATCAATTCTTAACATTTCCTGCTGGAAACTGATTTCCCCTATTATCAGTCCCCTATATTGGCTTGACAGATTTTAGCATCCTTCCCATTCTACGCCTCCACCCCTGAGTTGGGGAATCTCCTTAGGATGTTGTAATGAGGTGCCAGCATGTGGGGAGGCCAAGTGCGTGCTATGCAGAAGCTACACTTGGGCTCCCAGAAGAACTGCCCCCTTCTGCAGATTTCCACTGCAGTGTCAGTACTCTCACCCAGCTTCATCATTGCCTGCTGGGGTGATTGAATTTAATAGCTGATTGGCTGGGCTGGTGTGCTGCGTCATACACTTCAGCTGAGCCTTTCTGTCTCAGAGAAACCACTCCTGGCTTTGAATGTCAGCTTAGCCACTTTGGTTATAGAACTGACATTGCAGGAGTTTGTACAGATTAGAACAATGAAAGTATTTGGAACAAAGCACCTGGGATCTAGTAGCTACATCAGTTACCACATGCATTTTGGTAGCACAGAGCATGCTCCCTTTGTACACACTGCTTATAGCGTGGTTTTTGGTGGCTCCAAGCCACCACTATGCCACCTGAAGGGTAAGCAAGTGGGGGTTAGGCAGTGTTGGGTTACCAGATGGGCAGACTGGGGATGAGCAAGGCAGGGAAAACAAAACCAACCAATAAAATTTAGTATATTTGGAGGAAGAAAGGAGAATTGGTTTAATAACTTAAATTTTTGATTACCCTAGTAAGCAACATAAAAATAACCAGAACTTGGTTGGCCTTTATGTACTTAATAGATTATTGTTTTAATTCTAAATATGATTTGGAAGCAGGGTCCCACACCCTTTAGTGTCATGGTCTTGTAAAAGTCTTGAATGGGCCTGGAGGCAGGAGATTCAATGAGATAAGAGTGAAAAGTCCCTCTGTTAACTTCTATGTCTATAACAGCTTTGCAGGCCTGGGATTGGGGACAGCCATACTGGTTTTGTTTGAATTAAAACAGAAGTTGCTTAGTATAATTTCCCACCATGACAAAAATCTGTTGAAGAGCCCTGCTTGAATATCTTTCCTAAGCTCATTTTATCTGCCCTTGTGGTAAACAATTAAACTGATAATATCTTTTAATTATCAGTAGGAATCTGAGGGGCTGAGCATGTGGCACCTCAGAGTGCCACTGCCCATCCAGGCCCAGTAGCACCTTGCTCTCCAGAATTGTACTATTCACAGAGCTGTGATTTTGCCCCATTCTCATTCTGTCTAAGAATGGGGAAATGATAGGATGATGGGATGAACTCTTATAAAAATGTCATTTTCAAATGTCAGAGAAAAGCTATCACTTTCCTTAAATAGTGAGGAAATAGACATCTGAGGGACTGACAGTAACAAAGGGCTTCCATGACTTTTATTTGGTTTCTGGTTTTTATCTGTTTTCTGCTGGTTATTTTGAACACATGTCTCCGCTTCTCTCCCCTATTCCAAGCAGCACAAAATCTTAAACTCCATCCTACCTAGTGCATTAGAGGCAGAAGGCTGTGGTTCTAGTCTCAGGTTTTATCCATCCATAAATCCCCTCCCCTTGCCTCATTGCTGGTCTTTCCTGGGAGTTCAGTAAATGTTTGACCTGGAGTAGACCTGACTGCGGTGGATAGCCGTGAGATGTGGGGCAATGTTATCACCTTTTGTGGTCTTTGTTTGCTCATCCATAAAATGAAGGGTTGGGACCAGGTGATAATAGCAATATCTGATATTTACTGAGTTCCTTATTAGTCTTTGTGCAAGATGCTATGCCAGGTGCCTTATGTGTGTTATTTCACATAATTCACATAATATCTAAAATTAGTTATTTTATCCTTGTAGCAACCCTATAATTAGGTCTTGTTATGAGGCTCAGAGAGTTTAACTAATGGGGTGGAGCTGGTTGTCACCTAACACCTTTGACCAGTCCTGGCCACACATAGTGAGCTTTGGATGGCAGGCTCCAGTGCACACCGCTTGAAAATCTCAATGGGTACAGGGAGCCAGATAGCTCATCACCATCCCCAGGTGATTGTATTCTACCCCAAGGGTTGAAAACAACTGTATGCTACTGAAAGGTCTTCTGGGGCCTCTGGCTGAAGGTGAGGTGGGGCAGTGCTGAGTGATAAATACCAGAGTTGTGTAGATGCCTCATGTTATTGATCCCTGCATGGCAGCACATTGACAACTACACAGCCTAAGAAGTGTAGCTCTTTGTGCACATGCATTGGTAAGGACTGTCGCAAAAGTGCTTGACGTCTAACAGTGAGCTCCCTCTGTGCAGCAGGCAGCAGCAGCAGTCCAAGAACTCTTGGAGTCAAGTGTTCTCTGTATTCTCTGACCAACCCTTCTGTAGTACCAGTGTGCTTTATACGGCAGTCATTGTGGTTAAAGCCCTAATCAGGGGTTAGGGCCCAGAGCACAGCCTACTCCACGCACGCTGGAATGAAATGTTTGGCTGCATGCTGCCTGATGTGTCAAGCCAGCTGGGAGGAGACCTTATCTTGCCAGTGTTAGGACAATGGATTGAACCAAGGCTAAATTGAAGGAGGTACCCTGTGATATTATGGGGAGGGGAAAGAAGAAAAAGAATTTCCCTGGAGGGACTGGAGATGTTTGAAGTGGGCAGCCTTGAAAAGTGGATAGGTTATTTTGGACTATAGGTGGATTTATTTAATTGTTGAGTGGTGAAATTGGGACTGGTAGGATGCCTGTATTGAATTACTACAGTTCAAAAAGCCTGCAGTGCCTCTGTCCACCTCCATCCCCAGAATCAGGCGTGGGAGCCATTCTTCCTGATAGAAGAATATCCATCAGAATGGAGTGGGAATGCTATTGAAACTGTCTTCCTTCTCCCTCTAGAGTTCACAGTGCAGTGCATTTGTGACTTAATGACAGGCTACTAGGCATCAGATTCTGTTATAGCACTAGGTGTTATAAACTAGAAATGTGATTTTTTATAGCACATTTTAATTTTTAAATTAGGTTTTAATTACACAATAACTATACAAATATAATCTCCTGTTTTTGTTTTTTAAAATTCTGTATATAAAGACAAAAATCCCCTTTTAAAAACCTTTTTAGCTTATTTCATACGGCTTATATAAATGGGAATTATATGTGTGCTCAGTACAAATACAAAGTCTGTCTGAAACTTCTTTGTTACCTTACCTTCAGAGGGCAGTACAGGAGCACCAGCATGCTTTCTGACTTGTCGGAGCCCTTTAGGAGAAAGCTTGTATCTTGTAGAAAGAGTGAAAAAATGGCTGGGCATGGTGTAATCCTGTAATCATAGCATTTTGGGAGGCTGAGGCAGAAGGATTGCTTGAGGCTAGGAGTTTAAGACCATCCTGATCAACATAGTGAGACCCGTCTCTATTTTTTAAAAATGTAGAGAGTGAAAACCCAAACCAAAACTGTCATGCTGGACTGACCTCTTAGACACGTTACACATGGCAAAGAATAAAGCTGGATGACCTAACATATAAGGGGGCTCCCAAAGCGTTAGAGGGACAAAATAATTAGATGAACTTTTTTTTTTCACTTTTAGTAGTAAGTATAGTGTTACCTTTTGGAGCCCTCATTTATGGAAGGATGGTGAAAAAAGAATGAGGGAAGAAAGAATGTCATCTTGTGTGGCAAGAAGCCTGTGTGTGGAAAGACCCCGAGGCTGGGATTAAGGGAATTGTGTCCAGCTCCCAGCTCTGGCATTTTACTAGCTGTGGAGTCTTATACAAAAATTGAATTCTCTGTACTTTTGTCATCTTGTCTCTCAAATTAGGTAGCATTTTATGATGTACTTTGAAATGTCTACAGTACTTGTATAGATATAATTATGTTGTTATTAAGGGAAGCAAAAGGGATTATTAATAATGAAGTATTTGTATTGGACTCACTCTTAGAAATGCAGCTCATTTGTGGACATATGCTGCTTCATATGTAAAGGCAGCATTGTAATATATGTATTGTACATATACAAATATGATTTCATGTGTGTTACAGAGAAGAAATTATTTCCCTTGGTGATGGAGACATCAGGACCATGTGCCCCCTTCTGTCTATGAAACCTGGAGAATATTCTTATTTCAGTCCTCGGACCATGTCGATGTGGGCTGGCCCGGATCACTGGCGCTTTAGGCCTCGACGCAAACGTATGTAATTCTAGGTGGAACTTTAAGAAAAGAAATAGTGTAGATGACTGCCAGTCATCGGTTAGCCAAGGAAGGAAATGCCAGTCACAGCCCTGTTGTGTCTCTTTTACTGTCCCTTCATCCCTGGCCTGGGATGAAGGGATGGTAAAAATGGAAACCTCTAAGTGAGAAGAGTAAGTACTGGAGTTAGGAGAACTGGGCTCCTAGCCCCACACTGCTCCCTTGTATCCATATGACATCACTCAGTGGCTATGGGTGGGCATGACCACCGGGCTCTAGAGGGCACACAGGAGCTACTGTACATGCTGGCATTTTGTAGAACTCCAAAGGGCTGTACCAACCTCATGTGTTTTGCATTGTCTCTTTGAAAGAAAAGGATAAACATCTGTTTTATATTTTGTTTTTCTTTTGAGACAGGGTCTCACACTGTCACCCAGGCTGAAGTGCAGTGGCGAATCATGGCTCACTGCAGCCTTGACATCCTGGGCTTAAGCATCCTCCCACCTCAGTCTTCTGAATAGCTGGGACTACAGTGTCATGCCGGCATACTGAGTTAATTTTTAAATTTTCCGTAGTGACAGGATCCCGCTTTGTTGCCTAGGCTAGTTTCGACTCCTGGCCTCAAGGAGTCCTCCTGCCTTGGCCTCCCAAAGTGTTACTATTACAGGCATGAGCCACTGCACCCAGCCAAGCATATGTTTCTGATGTGTTTTCTTAGCCAAAACACAAATTATAAGTTTAGGATGAAAAGAGGGTGTGTGATTAAACATTCCTACTGTTGCAATGCTCAGACACAGTGCCGCCTTTTGGTTTTGATAAACCTTGATAAGGCTGTCAGCAGATCTTGTGAAATGAATAAATAGTTTAGGCCACAGAAGTGAAGTGTTGACATCTGTGTTCACTCTACAGAAGATGCTCCCTCCCAATCAGAAAACAAAAAGAAGAGTACAAAGAAAGATTTTGAAATTGACTTCGAAGATGATATTGACTTTGATGTATATTTTAGAAAAACAAAGGTTTGTATTGGATTTATTAGGATTGTTCTTTCTTAAATTACTCTTCACACTCCTTTTTCCCTTTCAGATGTGACTTTTTAAAAATTCCTTATAAATTTAACTCTTAGAGCAAACAGATGGTGTTATTTTTCCTTATTCCCTAGAAGCACTATTGAGAAGTAGTCCTAAACTCAGTGGCAGAAAGAATCAAATTTAGAATAAAAAGAATAATGCTCGCAAAATAACTTTTTTACATAAAACTGTGAGACTGATGGTAGACTCATGCTACCCAAAGTCTTCCCAAGCCACTTTAAAAATATTAGATGTTTTGACCATTGTTAATATGCCTAAAACACTTTTTTAAAAAAATTAATAGGCTGCTACTATTCTGACCAAGTCCACTTTGGAGAACCAGAATTGGAGAGCTACCACCCTTCCTACAGATTTCAACTACGATGTCGACACTCTGGTCCAGCTTCACCTCAAACCAGGCACCAGGGTAAGCCTATTCCTTGGTTCCTTTAAGCACACAAGTTATTAAGTGGCTGATAGTGTGATGGTTAGGCAGTGCCTTTGAGGAAAGGAGGGGTATGTGTTAGTCAGGGGGTGTTACCAGGAAATCAAATAGATAAGGCAAAGAAAGCTAAAAGGAAAAGCTTATAGGATGAATGCATGATTAAGGCTCGGAAATACTTTGCCTGGCTAGAATACTGGACACTAAAGCCTCCACACTGAAATTAAGTGGGGTGGTGAGTGTAATCTTTTGGTGAAGTTTCAAAAAGTTTTAGTTATTTCTTGATTCCTTCACTTTTTCTCTCTCTCTCTCCCCCCAACTTTTTTTTTTTTTTTTTTTTGAGATGGGGTTTTGCTCTTGTTGCCCCAGGCTGGAGTGCAACAGTGTGATCTCGGCTCACTGCAACCTCTCCCTCCTGGGTTCAAGCAATTCTCCTGCCTCAGCCTCCCAAGTAGCTGGGATTACAGGTGCCTGCCACCATGCCCAGCTAATTTTTTGTATTTTTAGTATAGATGGGATTTCACCATGTTGGCCAGGCTGGTCTTGAACTCCTGACCTCAGGTGATCCACATGCCTTAGCCTCCCAAAGTGCTGGGATTACAGGTGTGAGCCACCATGCCTAGCCAGTTCCTTCACTTTCTCATTGAAGTTGTGGATTTACTCACCAGTGCTTTGTACAGTGAGGTTGCCTTACTCACAATCCAAGTCAAAGCAAGGCCAGGGTGACATATGGGCTCACATCCTCAGGAAGTCTCCTAGAGCGGAACAGGCTGCTGGAGCTCCTTCTAAGACTGTCACATGGAGTCTTCTGGATTACCTGGTGTTACACCCTGATTCCTGCCTCCTTCATTTGCCTGGGGTCTCCTTGCATGTCCCTGCTGATGGGGTAAGCAGTGGTTGGTGTAAACTCCATTCCATTCACATCCTCTGCTTACTTACATTACTGGTTGTCCTACTCTCATGGAGTGTATTAACACTTTATAAGTTCCTCTTTATTTTGCCTGTTTTCCCACAAGATTTTAAATATATATATATATATTTTTTTTCTTTTTTCCTGAATTGACTGATACTGCACATTCCATTTAATTTTTTTTTTTTTTGTATTTATTTAATTTCTTTAGAGACAAGGTCTTGCTCTGTTGCCCAGGCTGCAGTCCAGTGGTACAATTAGAGCTCTTTGTAACTTTGAACCCTTGGATTCAAGCAGTCCTTCTGCCTCAGCCTCCCAAAGTGCAGGGATTATAGATGTGAGCTGCTACACCTGGCCTCACATTCTGTTTTTATAAACTAAGATATGGTTTTTTTTTAAATCAATATTATTTAGTTAATAGAAATACTCTCATAAACACAGAAAGAGATGCAAAGTCACAACAGTAGTGGAAACTATGGCCATGGTCAATATTGGTTAGATTCCAGCAGCGGCTTGCCCTCGTGAAGTACAGATAGGGCCCTGAGGCAGAATACAAAGGAAGGCTGAGTGAAGGCAGGTGGCAGAACACTGCTACCACACCTTGTCCAGCCTCAGAAGGAAGCTGCTTCAAAGGGAACTCGTGCAGGAACTGTTATCTGTGGCCACAGCCACCCTTCCCTCCCTCCAACTTTTAGGAACCTTTCAGTAATGTGGCCTAGGTTGTAATTTGCATTTTTAGATATGAAGGTGGTAGAAGAGTCATTAGATCATGGCACTCTGGGGCCTAGTTTTTTTCCCTCATACTTGTTTCTTGTAGAGGAAAGAACATGTGCTTCTGCTTGTCCAGAGGAGTAAGTTTTCTGCTTGTAGTAGGGCAGTAGGAGCTGGAGATCTCTCACCCTCCCAGCCACACAGGGAAAACAGCTACAGGCACACTTCTCTTTACTGTGCTTTGCTTTAGTGTCCTTTGCAGATACTGCATTTTTTACAAATTGTAGGTTTGTGACAAGCCTGCATCAAGTAAGTTTGTTGGTGCCATTTTTCAACAGTATGTACCCACTTCATGTCTTTGTCACATTTTGGCAATTCAGTATTTCAAACATTTTCATTAATATTATATCTGCTGTGGTGATCTGTGATCAGTGAGCTTCGATGTTGCTATTGTAATTGTTTGGGGTGGCATGAATTGCCCCCATATGAGGCTGCAGAGGGCATGGATGCTGTGTGTGTGTACTGACTGCTCTGCTGACTGCTGTTTTCAGGCTCTCCCTCCCCTAGGCCTTGCTATGCCCTGAGGCACAACAGTATTAATATTAGGCCAGTTAATAACCCCACAATGGCCCCAAAGTGTTCAGGTGAGAGGGATCTCTCATTTCAAATCAAAAGCTAGTAATGATTAAGCTTAGGCAGACATGTCCAAAGGCGAGATAGGCTGAAAGCTAGGTCTCGCACCAAATAGCCAAGTCATTAATGTAAAGGAAAAGTTCTGGGGGAAAATTAAAAGTGCTACTCCAATGAACACATGAATGATAAAGCAAAACACTTACTGCCGATATGGAGTGAGTTTTAGTGGTCGGGATAGATGATTGAACCAGCCACAGCATTTCCTTAAGCCAATGCCTATTTCAAGAGCAAGGCCCTACCTTCCTTCAATTCTGTGAAAGCTATGAGAGTTGAGGAAGCTGCAAAAAAAAAAAAAGGTCTGAAGCTAGCAAACTTTGGCTAGTTCATGAGGTTGAAGGAAAGAAGCCATCTCCATCACATAACAGCACAGGTTGGGCTGGGCGCAGTGGCTTACACCTGTAATCCCAGCACTTTGGGAGGCCAAGGTGGGCAGATCACTTGAGGTCAGGAGTTGGAGACCAGCCTGGCCAACATGGTGAAACCCCATCACTACTAAAAATACAAAAATTAGCCAAGTATGGTGGCACGTGCCTGTAGTCCCAACTATTGGGGAGGCTGAGGCAGGAGAATCACTTAAACTCGGGAGGTGGAGGTTGCAGTGAGTGGGGATTGCACTGCTGCACTCCAACCTGGGCAACAGAGCGAGACTCTATCTAGGAAAAAAGAAAAAAAAACAGGATGAAGCAGCAAGTGCTGATATAGAAGCTGCAAAAAATATTTATTCCAGCCTGGGTGACAGAGTTTTTTCTGCTGTCTCAGAAAAATCTTCAGTGGAGGAAGTCATTGCAGATGTGGTAGAAATAGCAAGAGAACTAGCGTGGGAAGTGCAGCCTGATGATGTGACTACATTGGTTCAATCTCCTGATAAGACTTGAATGGATGAGGAGTTGTTTCTTATGGATAAGCAAAGAACATTTTCTTCAGATGGAGTTTACTCCTGGTGAAGATGCTGTGAACATTGTTGAAATGGCAACAAAGGATTTAGAATGTTACATAATCTTAGTTGATATAGTTTGAGAGGATTGACTTTCATTTTGAAAGAAGTTCTGCTATGGGTCAAATGCTATCAAACAGCATTGCATGCTTCAGAGAAATCTTTAGTGACAGGAAGAGTTGATTGATGTGGCAAACTTCATTGTTGTCTTATTTTAAGAAATTGTCCCAGCCACCCCATCCTTCAGCAGCCACCACCCTGACAGTAGCCATCAACACTGAGGCAAGACCCGCTACCAGCAAAAAGATTACAAGTCATCGAAGGCTCAAATGATCATAATAATTTCTTAGCAATTAAATAATTTAAATTAAGATCTGTAAATTGTTTTTTAGACTATACTGTTGCACACTTAATAGACTCCAGCATAGTACAAGTGTAACTTTTAAATTTGTGTCACTATAAATGCTTGTATCAAACATTGGACGTTTGGCTGGGGACACCTGAGAGTGTGTCCAGAGGAGTGGAGGAATTTAGTCTAAATGAAAAGGTAGTTAAAAGCTGTGTCATATGAAGAACAGTGGAAGAAAATGGGGCATTTCTTAACTCAAATATTTATTGTTTATAGTAGTATTTTTGGATTTGCTACAAGCACATTGTGGGTTTATTTGGGCTGTTTTTGAAGTAGAGAATTATATTAAAATATTCAATGTGCTCTTGTAAACTGTGCACAGCTCCAGCCATATTGTTCTCACTTCAGAAATTTATATATCAGGTAGAAATCACTGGTCTGAGGAAGGACCTGTGACTGTTTGAAAGGTTGTGTCCAGTAGGCACTAATAAAGGAGGAGGCAAAGTTCCATGAGGCTCTGGAAAACAGAATGAGGATGATGGATGTAATTAGAGGAAAGAGCTGGATGTCTCCCCCTTTATTTATTTATTTATTTTTAATTGCATTTTAGGTTTTGGGGTACATGTGAAGAACATGCAAGATAGTTGCATAGCTACACACGTGGCAGTGTGATTTCTTGCCTTCCTCCCCATCACCTATATCTGGCACTTCTCCCCATGCTATCTCTCCCCAACTCCCCACCCACTGCTGTCCCTCCCCTATTCCCCCCAACAGACCCCAGTGTGTAGTGCTTCCCTCCCTGTGTCCATGTGTTCTCATTGTTCAACACCCACCTATGAGTGAGAATATGCGGTATTTCATTTTCTGTTCTTGTGTCAGTTTGCTGAGAATGATGTTCTCCAGGTACATCCATGTCCCTACAAAGGACACGAACTCATCGTTTTTGATTGCTGCATAATATTCCATGCTGTATATGTGCCACATTTTCCCTGTCCAGTCTATCATCGATGGGCATTTGGGTTGATTCCAGGTCTTTGCTATTGTAAACAGTGCTGCAATGAACATTCGTGTGCATGTGTCCTTATAGTAGAACGATTTATAATCCTTTGGATATATACCCAGTAATGGGATTGCTGGGTCAAATGGAATTTCTATTTCTAGGTCCTTGAGGAATCGCCACACTGTCTTCCACAATGGTTGAACTAATTTACACTCCCACCAGCAGTGTAAAAGTGTTTCTATTTCTCCACATGCTCTCCAGCATCTGTTGTCTCCAAATTTTTTAATGATCACCATTCTAATTGGCATGAGATTGTATCTCAATGTAGTTTTGATTTGCATTTCTCTAATGACCAGTGATGATGAGCATTTTTTCATATGTTTGTTGG